GTCCTGAGTGGGTAGCATCCAGAATTTACTCGAAACAAAGTCATTTAGAATGTTTTTAGAGCATAAACAGTAGTGTATAGGATTTCCTGAAAGCGCGCACACGCGCGCTCACGACGCTACGGAAGCCGGCAGATCAAACCAGATGAAAGTGCGCATTCAGCGTCTGCTCTTCCAATAATGCAAGCGTAGAAGAAGAAATGTGCTGTTTACCTGTGCAAAGAAAGAAACAACGAAAGAAAAATATCTGAGGACTTCAGTGTTGAGGAAGAGCATGAGTTCTTTGCCGAGCTGAATGCGCTGGTTTGGTCTGCCGGCTTCCGTAGCGTCGTGAGCGCGCAAGTGCGCGCTTTCAGGAAATCCTATACACTACTGTTTATGCTCTAAAAACATTCTAAATGACTTCGTTTCGAGTAAATTCTGGATGCTACCAACTCAGGACACTTGGAATACATTGGACGAGCAGTATGGAGGAATATTGACACGTTTTTTGTGGACTTTTATTGACCTTTCTGTCTCGGTCACCATAGACCTCCATTATTTGAATGTCAGCAGACAGCAAGAAGCCTCCCAGATCCCAGAAAGTACTCCAGAGTGTTGGGTGTACTATTCCTTTAACCCCGATTGATCCGCACAATGGCAGCCCTCTGCTCCCCAAGAGGATGGGTTAAATGCAGAGGTAGATTTCTCCAATGTGAGGTCAATAAAGTTCAATTATATTATTATAACATTCAGGAACTTATAAACCTGGATAGCTTCCCCTGCCACACTCTTTTGATGCCATTTATAGTTAACAGGCTGATAAGAAGTTTATATTGTGAACAGGTGAAGAGATCTGTGAACTACAAAGCTGGACGTGCTGGAAAACCCACAAAATGAATCAGCCGAACCGCCCCGAGCCCTAGTGATGAACTAGTACTAGATTTAGAGCGGTTCGGTTGTGTCTGACGCGGTCCAGTTATCTCGGTTACCGTGCTCGGGCCGTTTTGACCGTAGTGTTAGTGGGATTTATTACAGCAGGACACAGAACCTGAAGTCCTTCATCCAGAGCCTCAGTTTTACAGCTGTGGAACCAATAAGAGGGTCTAGACCAGCTCACTTATAGATAGACTTTTGTTTCTAATCTTATCAAAGATAATGTGTTTTATAGGGAGACCCACTGCTAACTACCATCCAGGAAGGTGAGTCTCAGTCCAATTAAACAGTCTGGACCAGAATTTACTGATCTACATTCACACCTTCAGAGAAACTCTGGTCCATTTAAACCAGGTCAGGTGTGAATAAAACATTAGCATGTTTGTGCTTCTATTTACTACAAACTAAACACAGACAATGGATTAACTATAAAAAAGGAACCAAACTTGTTTAATAGTAGATGTTATGTATTAATGTATCTGCCTATATAATAGAAAGTCTCCATCTGCATCAAATCGGTCCTATTTGTTCATTCCCCAACTGTGTTCAGTCAGAGGGCCGTGATTGGGCCCCAGGCTGAGTGAGGAAATATTTTTAAATTCATGCTGATCTCACAGAAATTTAGATGGTGAAGCAGGAATGTAAACATGCTGACCTGAGAGAAGAACTGCTCATCATTAAATATGAACCTGAGCTTGTCTGTTTTTATTAATTTATTTTTTTCCCCACTATACAATAAAACATCTTTAAGGATAAACTTGTAAATAAACCATCTATTTACTACAGCTGAACGTGATGTCGGCTAATTTACATCAACAACAAAGGCCCGTTTGTTCAATCCACTTTTAAAAACTACTAAACTATTTTGCATCCATTTATTTTTTTAACAGGTTAATACATTTATTAAGGATGTGGATTATTGTCAATTAAAGGAAACAAAATTCTAGCTTTTTTTTCCCCCCCTCCATTTTCTTCAATCATATTGTTATGAATTTGACAAGCTGTAATGTGATTAAAAACGTTAGAAGAGTTGGAGTCTACTACGACTCTTCAACTTAGCGTTTTTTTCCCCTTGTATACCCCCCCAGTCCCACTGTGAAGTCTAGAACCACAACATCTATATCCAGGCATTCAGCAAAGATGCTACATGGCTGTACATCTTATTTTGGTATTTGACCAATTAGATGAGCCCTTGAATGATAGATATTACTTACTGTAAATAAGGTAAAAAAGTCCAGAAAAAAAGTTAAAAATCTAATTAAAATTCAAAGTTAAAACGTTAATAAGCCTAGTTAACATTTATATTTAGGTTTATGAACTAAAAGATCTAAGTGCCAGTATCACCATTAATTTCTCTAAGGTTTTGTTTTACCAAAGAATGTTTTTCATGAATTTCTTATAGAAGCACTTTTGTTATTTTTCTTAATTTATTCAGGAAATTTGCTATTTCTTATTACATTGACATTAATTTTTTCCAATCAAAATATCTACTTTTTTATGTTACAAAGGTGATAAGGTTTCATCCTGGATTCCAATAAGAATATTGGCTTGAAATTTTGATTTTTCATTTTTCACTTTTAATTGATTAAAGAGGTCAAGTTGATACTTCAACTTTTACCAGAGTGTTTTTAAACTGCAGTATCTATACTTCTACTTAAGTAACAAATGTGTGCGCTTTTGACACCACTGATAGCGAGTTAATGGATGATCTACATATTTAAAACATTGAAAAACATTAGATCAACTGGGGGATATAATCTAACTTAATTGTCTGTTAAACCTGCATGTCTGTGCTAATATAAGCAGGAACACATCACTGCTTTCCTCCGTTTGTCCAGAACAGAGAGCTTGTTTGATCTATCCTTAGATATAAATCAAATAAAGTGAGTTTGCTGTTAGGCTACAGACAGCTGCTAAAGCTAATGATCCCAATCTAAGCTAAGCTATTTATCCCCTGTTGGAGCCCAGTCATCCCTCAGACAAACTCTACTAGCATATCCTGTCTGGATTAAATCCATCTTTATTAATCAGATCAAAATCAACAGAATACAATGTGTTGCATCTATGCAAAGAAAAATCCAACTCGTTTTCATTGTGCAAAATGTTTAAATGTCCTTGAAAAAAATGCCAGAATCATCTTGCCTGAAAAATGACATCACTCCTCAGAGACTTGCAGCAGGAAACATAAAGCCTCAGGACAGCAACCAATCACTACAAAGAAAATTCAAAAACACTCTGTGTCAAGAAATGCAAAGCAGGATTCATGGCGATTGATAAAAAAAAGCAATAATAAAAAAATAAAAATAAAACATTTCTCTTTTTAGGCCTTTAATAAAAAAAACTATCCAGATCATCCTGGAACAATCCTCCATGAAAACAAGCAATCAGATAAATGGTAAAAGAACCACAACATCATTAAAAATGGCGGTTTGAAATAGGAAAAACTACACAAAATCTAGAATAAGGGCAGCGTTTGCTGCCCGCTGATAGACTGGACGCCATAACAGTCAGCCAACACAGTCTGGGTGAAAAAAATAACAGCCAGGAAAAAAATGCAATAAAAAAAATACAATTAAAAAATTCCAAAGACGCTTCAATATTCAGGACAAAAAAAATGGGAAAGATTGCCAAAAATCTCCCGTTAAAAATACTCACCAGGACCTTAAACACTAAAAATGAGAACAACTGAAAGCCTGCTTTAATTTGGAGCTGGATTATCCGCTTACTGCTCTGGCAGCACCTTGAAACTAGTGGACACGAAATGGCGTCGGTCCACAGTCTCCGACCCAGATAGGCCCCACCCTCTGCGTGATGTCCTGGTTTCTGATTGGATATCTGAGCAGACGTGTTTTGGAAAAGTCTATCACCGATTGGCCGCTTTGTACGTCGATGAGGGCGTCAGCCAATCGCTGCTTTTGACGCAAGTGAGGGCGTGAGCTAGTTTTAGACAAAACCCTTCACAGATAATTAGAATTAGCTGCTAAACGCAATTCAAAGTCCTATTAGTTTTACAGTTAAAACAAGTTAATCGGAATCGGAGGGAAAAAGTGTTATTAAAGAAAGACTGATGGAAAATGGTAAAAAGAAAAAAAAAGGTGGGATGAAGAAAAAATAGGAAGAGGGTTTTATAAAATTCACAAGGCAGTAGAACAAAGAAGAAATGGAAGACTTACAGGACTTAATTATAAACTTTTCAAAATTCAAAAGCATACTATTGGCAAGTGGGATTTCTGTTGAAAATATGGAACAATAGAACATGTTATACTGGAATGTTAAATATATGAAAGCGAGAGAAGATATATGAGGAGAGAGTCTGAATGTATAAAGTGAAAGATCAATTTATTACATATTTTGAGGAAGAATTTGGGGAGTAAGCGTATACAAATAGTTATGTGATTTTTAAAGCTAACTAAATTATTTCATAGAATTTGATTATAGAGGATAAATGTGTGTATGGTATAGATGGGTAAAATACAAAGTTATCTATAAGTATGTATATTTGTGTGTCTGGGTGTGTGTTGGTATATATATAGTTTTTTTTTTCCATAGAATTTTTATATATGTTTATTAGTAGACAGTCCATCATGAACCACACTGTAGCAGTAATGCTTCTAAATGTTTTTTGCCAATTGGCAATAAATCCCAGAAGAAAAAGAAGCTAAAATCTTTGCTTCTTCTGAGCCTAGAATTTGGACATTTTTTACTTATTATTAAGGTTTAAAAATGACCACTCTGGTTGTTTTATATTTTCACCTAAATGGTTTAATGCTCTAATATTACACATTTATCCCATATGCATCAATATATTTATCTTTTTTATAACAAACAGGACGATATGTCATCCCTAAATGCTGACTAAAACATCAAACAAAGTCACATTTCATATTTTTTTTCACAAAACTTGTGAGATTAATCTACTCTGTTTGATTATTTCTAAAAAATGTCCCTTGCTTGAATTGTTTTTATTTGAAATGATTTATTAAGAACTTAAAGTGCTGGCTCGTGACACATATTTGCAAATGTCTGTAATGAAAAAACAAGCCGACTCTAAAATCTTATGACAATTCAGGACAGTTATTAAAGAAGTTTTAATTAAAAACAAAACAAAAATCTTGGGAATTCATTATCTTATCTTTTAAGCCCTGATAGATAACTCAATATTTAGACCTTCATAGCATAATTTCAAACTTTTATTTCAGCTTTGAATAATTTTGGTTAATTGTGAAATGTCCTTTGATAAAAGTAATGTTCAATAATAACATATTTACAGATGATATATACATTTGCTTTAGTTAAACATCCCACAATCCTTTGGTGCATCACTGTTACCATTCATTGTCCAAACAAATAGATTATGGTTAAAAAAAAAATCTATAGAACTGAACTGAACAAAACCCAATCTTTTAATCACTTTTAATAAGTGTTCAATTTTTTAAATAACACATTTTATTTCAACTTAAAAAAACAAACAGACAAGCAAAAATCCCCATGCTAATGACATTGATTACCAATAAAAGATAAAATGGAAAATGGCCTGACAGCAATATCAAGGCCCCCCATAGTGTTGCAGTGACAGGTTATGTGACAAGCAACTCCACTCTACCCTGGGGAGACAATTTCACAGCTACATCTTAAATAACCTTCTCCATGGACTAAAAGAGGAACATCAGCATGGTCACCACTTCAGTTTTCTTGATAAGGAACCTGCAATGAAAAACATTTGAATTCATTATATCAAACAAGTAACATAAATTACAGAAATTAAAGGAATAAAGCTGATCGATCAAAAGTATAAAATACCCTGAAAGCTGGCCATCCTCCTGCGGTTTCTTGGCAAAGTTACATCTAATCTGGCGAGTGACGCAGGTGTTCTCAGCACCTCCTCCAGCCGACATTGTTCATCATTTTCCTGCACGGAGCAGAGGGGTTTATTCAGAACCTATTAGGGTGCTAGAATATTTCTCTTTTCTCTTCCAATATTATAAGCAGTTAAAGTGGTTCTGGATCCATTTACTTCTACACACACATGTTACCATTTTATCACTTTGTTTTCCATTAAATGGAAAGAAATCAATAAATACAGTGTACTCAAACAATGTTCATCAATTTATTTCTTGTATATTTGAAGAGTTATGGAGCTAAATAATCATTAAGTGCTGAAATTTAACTTATGAAGTTTAATGGACAATTTGAGCCTTATAAAATGTGAAATTATGTCTTTAAATAAAGTTAAGTAAATGAATAAATAAAAATATATATATTTAATATATAAAAAAAGTAGGCATCCAAAATATGAATTGGTGAAGTGATCAGCTCTCCTGCAAACCGTACAAGCTGAAGACAACCTTTTAGGCATTTTAACCACTTAAAGAGGACCAAGAACAAACAAAATTTCTGTCTTAAAAGAAATCTGAAAAAAATATTTTAAAAAAGCCTTAATCTTTTATTTATGAGTGTCCTTACATGAACCTGTAAACTATGGCTCATTTTGGTATTCCACTATTATTTATACAGTAGAAGCCGATGATTATTTACACAGGAAATCAAGTGGGAGGAGTGCATCAACCATAATCATCCCATGTGAAACATGCACTGAGAACATCAGGGAATGTAAAAAATAACTAAACATTTAAAAAAATTACTTCACAGCTTACTTCACAGCTTACTTATACAGAAGTAAATGAGATGCCTCAACCTAAATCTAAGAAATGTTTGACCTTCATCAATGTTGACATGTCATAAGTACAGCTGATTTGCTAAAATTACTGCGTGGGTCAGTTTCAGCTTTGTATTAAATTACCACATTCAGTCCTTTATAATCTGTCTCTGTTAGTTTCTGTTGTTTGTGTTGAACTCCAATTAGTGTTGAACAGGGAGGACCATTCCAGAATTTCCCCAATGTGGGACTATTCTATTCTATTCTATTCTATTCTATTCTATTCTATTCTATTCTATTCTATTCTATTCTATTCTATTCTATCCAATCAATGTGGTTCTGGCTTAGGGCCTGCCTGCTTTAATTCTCTGTCTTTTATTATTGGGATTCAAGCCATTTTTGAAGTTATTCTAACAGGGAGAGTTTTCTAGTTCCCTTTCTAGAAAAAGTTTCACATAGAAAGATCCTTAGACGCACTCCCTCCTGTTTCTCTTTACCATGTACATACAGTAGTTAACTGCTCCAATATAGATAATTGTCCAATACAAACAACACAATGGTTGGAAATGCATGGAAATTGCATTTACACACAAGCTATGGTGGTTGTGAGATTTCAGTTGTTTTAGGCCAATAGAAAACCATCTTGGAGCAGGACTTAGTTTCAATTAAATGGGATTACCAAGGTATTTACTGCAGCTAAGATATGATTACTGTTTAACATAATCTCTTACCTGTGAGGCTGGGGTTTGCTGGTGTTTCCTCCTGCCCACTGGTGTTCCAGGGCCTGGGCTTTCAGCTCCATTCCTCTGCCTCTCGCGCTCCCTCTGCAGGAGCACGGCCTGCCTTGTGGACCTGTACTCCAAGGAGAAGTTACTGATAGTTCTGCAGAAGTCTTCTGCTCTGGTGTCTCTCACCATGGATTTGGAGTACCCCAGGAAGAGAAGGAAGGAGTGGAACCTTGAACAGTTAAAAAAGAGGCAGAAAAAGTATAGGCTATGCATTTTAGAGAAAGTGTTGTGAATTTGGTTTTGTGTTAACCATCTGCAGCGTGCCTGTTGATAACCCGGCGGTGGACGGCTCTCAGGACCTTCAGCCTCTCTTCACACTCCTTCAGGATCTTGGGCAGCCTGTAACGGAGCGAACCCTCTGGAACAAACAACTCCATGTCATCTTTCCCTTTACGCTTGTCACCTTTTCCTCCTTTCTTCTTTTCCTCAGACTTCTCCAAAACCTTCAGCTGCTCCCATGATGCCTTGCACATGGCCTCCAGCTGCGCAAAGTTGGACTGGACTAGAGAGTAGTCGCACTGCAGAGAAGACGGAAAAGTTTTAGCATGAATTTTGGGAAAGTACAAACCTTTGTTACTTTCCAAAGTTCTCACCTTTCCAGCTTTGGTGACAGCGGTGATGTCAGAGTGGAGGTCAGAGGATTGTGGGTAGAGCTGCTGCAGGAGCACGCAGACATGGTGCAGCAGAGGCTGGCGAGTGTGAGTGTCCCTCACCTGAGACAGCTTCCCCAGGTAACTCAGCTCAAAGCCTCGAGCCTTGGGGTTTTCAGATCTCTTGTCAAGCATTAATAAAATCAAACACTATGTTGAAAATGAAACCTAAAACTATCAATTGCTCTTCCTCACCTTACAGCCATTGAGAAAGTTACCGATGGCTAAAACGGTCGCTAGGATACACCTGAAGGTCTGGCTGGCCGCCAGCTGTTCCATTGCCAGCTTTAGGTGAAACAAGGGCTCAGCAATTTCCTGTTAAGAGAGCACAGAGGGCATTATGTGAATTCTTCAGCATGTTGTGCCTTTCAGTAGTTTTTCAACACTGTGAACTTTTTCATTTTTCACATATATAAATAATCATCTGTTGGTGAAAATTGTCTATCAATGAGAAGTGGAAGGAAAGGTTGTTTTTAAAAGTTGACCAGGCATCTTTTTTAGATCCCCTGAGTCAGAATTAGCTGGCTTCAGCAGTTCTGCTCTCAACAAAAAAGAAAATAAAACATATGGTGGCAAACAGGTTAAAGAATATGCTACAGTCAAAGATCATGGTCCACATTGAAGGTGACACAGTATCTGTGGTGAAACAGTAACCCCGCATATCACAGAGAAAACATCCTCACACTGTGAAACATGGCGGTGGCAGCATCATGCTGTGGTTTTTCCGATAGAATGGAGTAGGAAACCAGCCTGAAGATGAAAGGAAATGCAAGAATACTAAAGGAGAATACTTAAATGGCCTAATAAGGTAAAAGATGAGGACATAGGGACAACAGTCCTAAATATACACCCTACAGAGACAGATTTCCCTTTAATTACAGTGTTTTGGGATATAAACAGCTAAACTGGAGACTTTTTCCTTTATTATCTCTAAAATAGCTCAGTCTCTGTCAAACTGGATGGTAAACATGTATTTTTAGCTGTTGCCTCCGATTCTAAGATTTTTAGGTTTTGAGTTGGCCATTCAATCACATGGATATGTTCTGATTGAAATGTTCTAATGTAGCTCAGGGTGAACGACTTGAGTCAGACTCAGGTCTTTTTCAACATCTAACCGTTAGTCCAATCTAGTTTTATATCTTGTTCTGGATTCTTTCTTCCCAGCAAATTTACGTTTCCGTGCTGAAGAATGATCCTGCTCCTAGCATGTTTACCATGACAATGGTATGCTAACGATGATGAGTATTGTACATATTGTACACATGTTGTAGTGGACTAAAAAGTTTAATTTGGTCTAACCAGGGCAAGTTTTCATGTGTTCAATACTCGGCTCTCTGCCAAATTTGATCATCTTCTGCCTTTCGTTCCACTTTGGGTTTCTACTTGCCACTCTTACATCAAGGCTGCATCTGTTCAGTTGTGATCTTCATAAATTAGATTACTACCCAAGGAAACTACTTCTACTGGATTTTGTGTTAAGTCATCAGATTAAATGAGACTGAAGACATTTTTGTGACCTTTTTTGTGAAAGAAAGCTAAAAAGCATGGATCCATCTTTTCCTTTACTCCCTTTATACATTTTGTCGGTCTGCATCTAAGATAAGATTGGATCTGATGGCTTTACAGGGAGTACTTTTGCAGGGTGCTTTAAGTAACCCTGGTCATCCAGTTATTTAGCCACTGGCATTGTAGCCATCATTGTTTTCATCTACCTTCTCCAAGGAGTCGTAGTCCAGAGCGAAGGTCCAGAGCTCAAGTCTTGTAGAGAGGTGAGGGATTTCTCCTAGAGTGAGGAGACACAGTTCAGCCTGGGCCAGAGGAGAGTGAGGGTTCTGGGCCTTGGCTTCATTAATCAGACGAAGCTCTTCCTCAGTCGGGACCAGAGCTTGAAGTCGCTGGTTTGGAGAAAATGTTAAAATAGATTAAGCTCGAATGAATCCAGGTGAATATTCATCGTCACATAAAGGTTAATGAATGGAGGGGGTGGCTGACATGTTTTCTATACCTGGATGTCCTCTCTGTCCAGCACGCTGCTGTCCATACTGTAGATGGCAGGGGGGAGAAGGCGAGGTGGAGGCAGGCTGCTCAGGGCAATGGTTATGATGTTACTGCGCTTCATGCCCAGCACAGAGACGGATGACTGCTTCTGTGATAAAACACCACAATTATATTTCTGTTACCTTTTAACATACAGGATTAAATATTTAGATCTTTGAATTGTTTTGGAAAACGCACAAATTCTTAAATGGTTTTGGTTCTTATTAAAAGAAAAAAATGTTGTAATTCATTTCGTGAGCAAAGACGCAAAAAAAATCTGTAATGATAAATCTTTAAAGCATAATTAACAGGTTTTTGTCTCACCATACAGTAGCAGCCATTCAAAGTGGCCCTTCCTAGTCAAATGCCAGCCAAATGGCAGCCAACTTCCAGCCACTGGAGTGACTCCCTCCTTCTCCATGCATATTTCTTTAGTCTGACCAGGAAATAATGCTTCTTTTGATGTCCAAAAATCATGACAGAAAGAATATTTAAGTAAAAAGATTGATGTTTAAAAAGGACAGCTAAGGACCAACCAAGGGCCCATCAAGGAAAGTGGGGAAATTTAGAATGGCTGCTACTGTATACTGAAATACTTCACTTACCCTGCAAACATTGAGCCAAGAAAAAATAGATTAATTAAACAGAAAAAAAAAGCTATTAATGTTTTTCCTGTATATTTCTAATTTTGAGCTGATTTTGAATTGACTTCTAAAACACCAAAATTTCGACCACCATCTATTATTAGATGTTTTGGGTTTTTTAACTATGGAAGACTTCAACTCAATTTTTTAGAGCCAGCATTAATTTAGACAACTTATTCAGGAACTTGCAGTACAATTTTTCCCAATTTCCAGGAAAGATACTTTGTTTTTTAAGTTACTATTACTCTAACCAGAGATTAATTCAGGCGTTGGAAGGAAGTTCCGGTGTCAACACATTATCCATCAGGCATACCACAGGGGAAAATATTCAATTCAATGCAATTCAATTAATTTTATTTACATATAACCAGAGTAAAATCAGCTTATACTTTGAAAAGTTTGTAACTAGAAGTCAGTTACAAAGAAATACAGTTAAATTCAAATTATTATTTAATCCCTCTCTATGCTGGCTTCCTGCTATTCACATGATTTAACTACAAAATGTATTTATTGTTTTTAAAACTCATAAAAGTAGACCTGCTTCTGTATTTTATGAAGTTCTGTTTAGAACTGCTGCTTTTCATTATAAGGTCTGTGCATAAAATCTCAAGGTTGCAAAGCTTTCTCTGTGGCAGATCCAAGTCTCTGGAATATCATACTAACATGTGTCTGGACAACCAATGGAACATTTAAAATCTTTACAGAAATGACCTTTTATGGCTAACAACAGATTTTGAGTTAATAGCTGTCTGGATGTTTATATAATAAGGTACTCTGTGTAGCTTGAAATCTGCTATAGAAATAAGCTTGATCTTGATGTACCTTCATGATGTTGCTTTAAGTTGAAAATCACTATAAATTATTCTTTAAAATCTTGAAAACATCTCTCAGGGTTGAAATAATTCATGTAATTTGTTTGTCTTAGCATATTCCATCCATCCATCAACTTTCCATCAGGCTTATCCCAAGCGGGGTCGCGAGGGGTGCTGGTGCCTATCTCCAGCTGTCAACGGGTGAGAGGCGGGGTACACCCTGGACAGGTTTCTAGTCCATCTCAGGGCAACACTGAGACAAACAGGACAAACAACCATTCACACACACACTCACACCTAGGGAGAATTTAGAGAAGCCAATTAACCTAACAGTCATGTTTTTGGACTGTGGGAGGAAGCTGGAGAACCCGGAGAGAACCAATACATGCACAGGGAGAACATGTAAACTCCAGGCAGAAAGACCCTGGGGTGGGAATTCGACCCGGAACCTTCTTGCTGCAAGGCAGCAGTGCTACCCACTGTGCCACTGAGCAGCCCTGTATTAGCGAATGAAGTTATGAAAATAATGTACCTTTTAAAAACATTTAAAAATATTCAAAGTTTAAAAAAAAGTAATTGAACCTGCAGAAAAGTGAGTTGAGCAGGTTATATTGCAGCTGACCCCTCCCACCTTGGACAAAAACTGTTTCAGACTCTCCCCTCCTGCAGGAGGCTGTGCTCCAACAGGACCAACACATCCCCAAACAAAACCAGCTTCTTTCCCTCTGATGCTAGCCTTATAAACAAGTGTTTATGAAATACAAGCACATATGTGTATAACTGAATCTAATTTTATACTGCAGCTGCTGTTTAATGGTGCTTGCATTTCTTAAAATTTGTATTCCCTTATTCATTATTTATGTCATATTTGTTTATGTTTACTTGTTAATGTGTAGGACATCATCACCAAAACATGTACATCTACGTGTAAAACGGTACATGAAAATAAAGCATTTTCTGATGAAAAATACCAAAGACAGAGCATTAATCTTAAACCATGTAGCTGCCATCTCTCTTTCTAAAAGGTAGAAGACAACCTGGCTTCCTGTGGTACAGTTTGTTCTATGGTTACCAGAACAAAACTACCCTAGGCTAAAGTCTTCATTTAGACCTTTACAAGGTATTGACAGATTATATATCATTACATTAAGTAGAATTAAGGCCATTTACCCCACAAATCCCGTCCCTTAGTTCTCTTTATAGTCTTGTTTCTTTTTTTGTTTTTTTGTTTTGAGGGAATGTCCAGCTACTTTGCTGTGATTGGATAAGACTCTGATGGTTTAAGCAGCTAAACACACCACTTCTGCTAACTTGCAATGTTTTCTATATTAGATATTCTAGTGGGTTAGTCCCACCCATGCAACACCACATACCCTATGTTTGCAGTCTTTCCAAACAGCAGCGGAGCACAATGTGAGCTCTCATTTCTGTCTGCTCCTCTATGTTCAGCTCTTTGCCTGCCCTGTGCTTGGCTCGCCGTTTGTGCCCCCCCTCCCCAGACTGCTCTCAGTTAAACTTCGTTGAGTTTCATAGTTGAGCCAACTCAGCAGCCAACTTGTTGAGTACAAATGCTTTGAGGCAAAACTAACTTTTTTCTTGTTCTGGCCATCTTGAAAACAAGAACAAATGTCTTTTAAAGAATGTATTAAGCCTTACTAAGTCTCCAATTTTGGCACAGCACTCTTATTCTGTCTTCTTTACATTAACACGGTTTGCCAACTCATCCATTCATAAAGGAAATACCTTTTTAGAAAAGGAAAGAAGCATATAAACACTTGACCTTGACCTGACTATGTTGTTTGGTTTCATTCTCACCTGCCGCGCAGAGGCCACGGTAAAACTGCTGCTGGTGGCCTTAGATTCAAACAAGTACTCCAGGCGGTTTGTGTCCAAATGCACCGGCTCCAGTCCGGCCCATATAGTTTGCTTCCCGAAGCGCGTCATCCTGGGAAGTGGGGCCAGGTTCTGGAGTTCCCTCCAGTGTAGCTTCAAGGTATGACTTTTAATCACAGCACCAGTTGATGAGGAAGGTAAAGGAGATGCAGGAGGTGGAGGAGGAGGTGGTGGAAGTGGCGGTGGAGGAGGCGCCACGGACAGGTTCTGACTTGGCGGTGATGGAAGAAGCCCCTCTTCCTCTCCACCGTCGTCCTCTTCCCAGAGATCTGAGAAATCCAAGGTATTGAGGCAAAGGCGTGCGGCCGGTTTGATGATCGAGTCCCAGGATTGGTCAAAATCCCAGGTCAGGTCCTTAATTTGATCTGATTCCTTCATTGGTATTTTAAAAGTAATATATGAGCAAAAAAAAACTAAAACAATTCTTTATCTGACTCTAAAAGGCATACCTCCTCTGAATTCTGAAAAAAGAGGCTTCTTAAGTTCTATCAGACCTTTTGTCTTTCATTTCTTACACTCTACATACTCGCAGAGCTTCTTGCTTTCCTTACTTTCTCTTCTTACTGCTCAATCAGCCACCACCTCACAGGCACTAAATCTCCATCTGAACATCTGTGGATGCTCTGTCTCACTTGTCCACCACAGGAGCGCATAGCTCCCACGCCCAAAGTCCTGCTTCCTGAACCACCTCTGGTCTTTTCTCACTCCTCCGTAACCTGTAATTCCCTTGGGTGTCGTGTTTGTCCCCGCAGATTGGAAGCAGCGTGTGGCGTCTGATCGAAACCTCCGTTGCTGTCCTGCTTTTCTTTCTGTGGCATAAGGCTGCAACCTCAGTGAAAAGGAGAGAATTCCTGTAAGCCCTCATGGGCTGTGTTTAACTCCTGATTCCTACTCTGATGAGAAAATTCACGGAATGCCTTTTCTACGGCTCTAAACACCCAAATGCCTCTGCAGCTGCCCTCTGACTTTCATCTCTCTGTGTCCTTCCAGAAGTTACAGCAAATGAGACTTTCGGTTGGAGATGGAGAGAGAGAGGGATGCTCTGGTCCATCAATTATGGTTTGTTTGAGCTGCGCCCTCTTCCTTAATTTCCTTATCAAGGCTGAATCTCTGTTTGTGTTGCTGTCATGGTGTGTATACAAGCATCTTTATCTCCTCTTTTAGATCTTTTACTTCCGGCCTCTTCGGTTGACACACACAGACTCTGTTTCCTCAGTCGGTTTTATGAAGACATAGTGTTCTAACATACCTTCTTAAGTAGGAGGGGAAATTTTTATGTGCAGAATTGTCCAAAAAATGTAGGAAATAATCTGAAATCTGTTGATATTGGTTCGAGCCAAAGTAAAGGGAATCCTGGATATCCTGAATAATCCAGTATATTGCAAAGCTATCAAAAATGAAATGCAATAACTTCTCTGGGTATTACGCCCAAATTTCATGTAAAATCTTCATCAAAGCATTGAAAATATAACTTTGACTGAGTCAGCAATAATCAGAGGATCATTATGTATACCTAAAAGGAATACGTTTGCGGCGATTTAATGAATTTAGTGTTAATTAGTAAAAAAAATACAAACAATAATTTGTTGTGATCATGTCTGGGAACGGCCATTTTCCCAGAATGCCTAGCACCATTGTCTCCTCTTTACAAGCAAAGTTAATGGGAACTACTAGCACCCCTGCAATCAACAACAATTATTTTAGATTTTAAGAGGACTTTACCATTGAAAGCTATAGTTAAACTGACAATGCCCACATGCATGGCAGTTGGATGTTGTAATACTTTTCCAATTCATGATCCTCCACGGACGGGTTTGTCGTTCGATTGCCAACTTGAAGAGGGAGGATTTGCAATCGATCTACTTGCCAGAGAAAAAATATGCAATATGTAGCCAACGTTTGGAAGAAGAATGTTTTCAAGATGACTTGGATAATAGCGCGTTGTGACAAACACCAGACACAGCATTGGGACTTGATCAACAGCTGATACCGCACGGTGATGTCACAAACCTGTAGGTGGCAGTAGTGTTCTTTGACAAACATGGATGCCTCCAGTAAGGCACAGTCAAATCGAATTACTCTTAATTTTAAAAAAAGTATAATTTTTTGAACAGTATATAATAATTTCATATTTTAAATACTTTCAGAAATTTGAATTCTGAATATGACGGGACTTTTTCTTTAATAGCGGCGTATTTCTGCAGGTAGGCTGAATACAAATACCAACAAATTCTGCTTTTAGTTGGAAAAAAGTGATACTAATTATTGATCCATTGCAGCAAATAACAATGAAATACTTTGATGGTTATTTTTTTGTTTGTTTTTAAACAAACAAACAACAATTGTTTTTAAAATACCACATATCCATGCTGAAATGTCTCTAAAACACGCAGTGCATGTATGAGGTGTGTCCTCAGGGTCCTTTGCATGGTCCACATGCAGCTCTAATGAGGATCCCTCCCTCTGCCATTAGGTCTCCCCCTGATTACACTTTATCTCACTCAGTTGCTCTGCTGTCTACAGGCGGCAGCAGGACTCATGGGAGAGTTCAGCTAAAATGAGGTCTATTTGCAAGGCTTAATACTGTTTAAGCATTTATTTATCCACAGAGCATTTTAAAGTCTGAGCCAAATACACAAACTTACTGCTTGCCTTGGGAGTATTTAGTGTTGCACTCTTTAAGTTTCCTAAAGACAGTTAAAATGTACTTACAACACAGGAAAGTTGTTTTGGCGAGGCTGCAGTTACCAGTCAGCTGTAGAGTTTTGGTGACAATGTTGTGCACTTAACCAAAAGGGACACGTTCTCTGTGGGAACCAACAATTTAGGGATGTGTGCGGATGATCCTTATCCCTTTGTGGGGTTTATAAATACTTACAACTTTTTTTATTTTTGCTCTTCTGTGGGTCCCATCGTGGCTTCTGGACTGAGAGTAGGTCGGCTCTAACAGCACCAAGATAAAGATCAGGGCAAAAACGACATGTAATTGCTCCACGTTTGAGGTCCTTTTAAGATGTCAGGGTCATAAAACTGAACTTAGATTTAGGAAGGTCAGATAAAAGTGAAACACCCTTGCAGCACATGAAGAGATTTAGTTTTTCGAAAACTAATGCCAGTATTGTCGGAACAGAGTCTTTGAATATCTTCATGTATATAATTTGACTCAAGATGAGACATGTTCAAAAGATTAAGTGTTAACCATTGATTTTGAACAGTTTCACTCTGAGCACGTAAACATTTTCCTAAAAGACAATAACATACCAGTGTACCACATAGCCTCGTGGCACATATTCAATGAAAGAATGAGGTATGAAGTGCTGACCTGCAATTCTATGTCCAGTAGGTATGCGCCTTTGTTTGCAAGAGGTGATTTAAACATCTGAAGATGTATTTTTAACCTGTTATCCGAAGAAAAACTATACTGTCAAACATTTTTTCTATTCCATCACTGAAGCTCCTTGTCAGAAATTTTCTGTAAGCGGTGAAATCTTTGAATCATCAATTCCCCATTGCAGTTGTTAGCTACAACTTACTAGTCAGTTAGTTGTTTAGGAGTAATGGTTTAAAAAAGCCTCTTCAGCTCTGCTATCATAATTGCAAACATCAAAACTTTTCTAAACACTCCCAGAACCCTGGCTATAATCATATACTATAGGCCAATGACAATGAGCTTTTTGGCAGCAAAAACCTCTGGCCCAGCATAAGAAAAGGAAAAGATGTGTGAAAAGAAATAGCTAATGCATGAACAGCGAGGTTCAGTATCTGTCATGTTGTTGCCTGTCCTTCGTCTGAAGGACTTTGGGACTAAATAGAATGTCATGGCATCATAAAGTCTTTAAGAGGTTAGGAAAATAGTATGAAAATCTGATGAACTTTGTGTTTTGAAATGTTCAAATCACTTTATGATTAATCTTTTTTCAATTCAATTTCTTCTCACTTGACCATTTAATTCCGTTTTTATTTAATAAATTGCTAATTCACAACACATGTCACCTCAAAGCAATATACAGAGACAATTAAATCAGATAATACAGTCTAATTGGTTAAAAGTTTTCTATCTGAGGAAAACCCGCTGATTGCCTTCAGTCATTGATTTGACAGGATCCACCTGTTCGGGATGAGTATGTGGAAATAGTGGATACCCGCTTTGCTTTTTGCCTCTGACTACAGCAATTCCACAAACAGGTCATGCATGCAGTGATAGTGGAGAAGAACAACTCAGTTTTTTGCTGACAGCTATGTATTTATTAACAACAAAACATCAATGATCTTAAATATATTAATGTTCTATTAGTCACATTTCATCAAGAAAAATAGAAAGTGAAATTAAAAGAAAAATTGACAATTTTCTTAAGTGGTAAAATATCTGGTTTAAAAAACAAAACTAACAAATATATTGGACATTTTTTTATTTAAAATTTATATTTTCAGTTATTGCTAAAATGAAACTCCTCCATCTACATCTAAGGAATACAATTAACAGTTAATTTATTTCACTTTATTTTTCTTTTTTTGGTATTTGTGATTGGAAGGTATTTTAGTTACACGTTAAAAACACAATACACTGTTTAAAAAAATAAATATAATAAATATATATATATATTTTTAAGTACATATCTTATCATCAATTTTATTCTGAGGAGTTTAGTTTTATTTTGAAAGCCCCATAGAACGGAAGTCACACCAACCTCGGCGCGCGCTCACGCGCTATTTTGGTCTATGCTGTGAGTGGGCGCGCATCCCCCGGACTGGAATGTCTGTCATCTCTCGCGCTGACATCACGCAGAGGATTTGCCACAATGTCAAACACAAGCGAACAGCGCGCGCTCATGGCTTCCCCGCACCGTAATAACACGCAGCACCTCGTGCGTCGGCTCGTGCTCTAATCATTAAACTCCTTTTTATGGGTCCTTTCTGTGTTCTAGGATGCTTTTCGGGTAAGATTGGTCACTCCGCTCTTATTTTGTCATGTGTTACAGTTGGGGAAATATCAGGAATATTTAGTATTTTTCCAGAAAACATTTATTGAAATGTTTATTTTTTTATATTACTGAAAGCTTATTTTTGTTGTTGGCGTTTTATTTTTTTAAATGAAAAGTTCCCAGCTGCCTGAAACACTGATGCTGTTTGGTTATTACGCAATGAGCGAGCAGAGCAGATGTTAGAGGTGTTATGATGACAAACCTCTGATCCACTGCTTGCATCACTTCTACTCCACTGCAGTGTTTTTTTTATCCATCTGGGAGTCATTGTTCAAAGAACTCAGATGATATATTGTAAAAAGAATTAGATTAAATGGTTTTTATGTACTAAAATAAGACTTTCTAACCCCTTTTTCTCTGCACTTTAGATCCATGTAAGCCTGATCAAGTCAGAGTTCATGCTGAGGAGAGAGTCTGACACCCACAGCCTGTTTACCTCTGGAGATACATCTGATAATCACTGTGAGGTAAGGACACCTGGATTTAGGTTTACTGTAAAAAGAGAAACAATAAAACCATTAAAGGCCAAAAAGCTGTTATCATGAGAAAAACAACTCAGAGTTGAATAAATAAAAGTGGAATAACAGATTGTCTCCATTTTATTTTGGTAGATTTTAAATTTACAGTTAAGAATACGTCTATAAGTAATTCAACCTCATGTTTACCTTTTATTTTTGACTTGTGTCCAGGCATGTTGCTCTAAAAAGTTATATCCTTTCCCATGGTCAATTTCAGGAAATTATGTAAAATAAAGATAAAATGCAGAAGCAAGCAGAGAAAGAGAAGCATCTTGTTTGGATTCAGAACTTTCAAAGCACACTTTTTAAGCCAAAAAGGGGAAAGAAAAGTATTCTAATTTAATTAGTGAGAGTGAGAAAGACAACACACCTTCCAAATCAACACCCTATGAAGTGAATTACCATCTAAAAACTATTTTAACTGTATTTCACCACAACAGCAAATAAGCATTTGTGACCAAATTTCAAAACTACTCTAGTTTAGTGTAAATCCAGCACTATTCTCCCATCAGCTGTTATATAAATAACCCCTGTTTTTAATCAGCTATTCAGTCAGAGGTTGGTGAAGTCTCACTTTTCTCCACATATTTAGAAAGAAAAGGATAGAAATTGAACTTTATTGATCTCATAGTTAACCCCTCCCATTGGGTAGCAGCGGGCTGCCATTGTGCGACCCCCAGGGAGCAGTGTGGGGTTAAGGGTTTTGCTCAGGAACTCAGAGTGGAGGCAGTGGGGATCAAACCAGGTACTTGCAACCTTCTCAGAGCATCTCTAACCACTAGGCCAACACTCCCGATAAGTAACATAATTTCAGTAAAGCCCTCTTTCACAGTAATTTACTCTATAGATTTAACTGCAGTTTGTTTCCCCAATAAATAATGTTGGGGAAAATGTGGGGAAAAAGGAAAGTAAACAATGACAACCAATCAAACTGCAGCTACAGTCTGATCAAGAAAAATACCATTAGATACTCAAGCTAATTAATGTTGCTAAACATCTAGAAGGATCGATTTAAGGAGAATTTTTGTTGATTGAACTAGAGTGGAAACAATTAGTCGGAGTAATCATCATTAATTGATTATTGAAATAATTGTCAACTAACTTGATAATTGATTAATTGTTAAGACTGTAAAACATGCCTGAAGCTTTACAATATTGATATAATTACTGATATAATAAGATTAGATTAGATAAAGTTGAATCTAATCTAATCTAATCTTAGAGCAGTAATTATATCAATATTGTAAAAAAAAAAAATACATAAATGTTTTTCTTTTAAGAAAAAAAACAAAATTTTTTCCATCAATATTCTCTATCCAAAACGCCTTAAGTGGAAAAGTTTTATTTTCATCCGCTTTAATTTAATAAAAAATCCAAATAATAATCAATTAATCTTAAAAATATGTGACGGGTTAATCAGTTTGCAAAATAATCGTTGGTTGCAGCCCTAGATTGATCAGAATATGTGGATGTTAGACGTGTTTTTTTTTTTTTTTTTTTTTAATGTCTTTTGTTTCTTAGTTAATTTTATGGTAAATAAACAGCAGCTGTGGTCTGCCTGTTGACTCCCTCCTTCAGTAATCTGCTCCAGCTGTAAATTTGGTTTAAGTTTTAATTCTCATTTGATTCGTCCTCTGAATCCAGCTTACTGATTATTTTATGATAATGACCCCAAAAAAGCTTCTCCAATGTACAGATTGGATCTGAAATCCCTCCTCAACATGTTGCCTCCATGTTGGCTCATTTCCTATCTGGATGATCTTTGACACAAAAGTTATCGCTTCACCATTTTTCTGTACCAAACATCCCTTCAACATCACAAAGATGTCTTCCAATAAGGAGAAGTGTTACTACATGGAAGAAAATGTGCTTTTAAAATTATTTATCTGCTTTTAAAAACAAGCTGGAAGCAAATAATAATTTAAGCTTTAAAATATTCCAATATTTACCTTTTTATAGCTTAAATATTGTCTAGTATGTTTGTTCAATTGAAAAAGACACATTTTCTCAATTTATTATGTTGAATTCTGAAGAATCTGTTTTGTCCTCTTATTTTAAACTTGAAACACTAATAAAATAATTAAGATCTGTAGTGGGAAAAAGTATTTTTAACTATTCATCCTAATTAAATAAACACAGATTGATTGATTTCACTCAGTCGGCATTTTATTCATCACATCTTTGCAAAGAGAGAACAGCTCATCATACAGCCCTTACGGCACAGTAATCTATGGAAGAGGATTAGGGCCATTAAAAAAAAAAAAAAGTTAACTAATTTTTAAATTTTATTTCAGTTTACTATGGGAGAATTCTGATTCTGACTTTAATCTCAGAATTCTGACAATAAAAAAAGTCAGAATTTCTGAGATTAAAGTCAGAAATTTGAGAATAAAGTCAGAATTCTGACTTTATTCCCATACTAAACTGAAATAAAATTTTAAAATCAGTTAACCTTTTTTTTTCAGTGGCCCTAATCCTCTTCCTTAGTAATCAGCCCTGTTCTGACTAGACAGAGTTTTTCTCCCTTACTTATGTTTAGTAAAAAACTTTGAAGGTTCAGCCAGAGTCAAAACAAATTACAACACTTTAACAAACCTGGAGAAGGAATTTACCTCGTTGTGGGAATAAAACCATCCCTCATTCAGACATTTTCTCAGCCTTGCAGATGAAACAGAGTAAAAACATTTTTCACTGGATAAATAGCATAACTAAATACCTGAGAGAAGAGAAATCTAAATCTTTATCTGAACACAGTTCGACCTTTTTCGATTATAAAAATGTATTATCCTTGAGTAATCGATGATGATAATAATAATAAAAAAAATTGTGAATATATGTAAAAAAAACTAATCACACTTATCTATGCTAATATTATTGTTTATTAATTGGCAGCTCCAGGATTAACTGAAGGTTGACTTTAGCTCTAAACTAAAACCTTCAGAACAGGATTTATTGTGGCTGTTATTATCTTTGGTTTTTCTTTATTTTTATGATTAAACTCCGTATAAACATATCAGCTTTAATGTTCTGTTTTCAGTTCAGCTCATGTCCAACAAGAAAAAAATGGTTAAAGGAACATTTTAAGTTGATTCATAAATGTTTATGTAGGATTTATCTTCATATTGTTGAAATTTGCACATTATTTATATTTGCAATTACAAAATAATGTGCTTGATTACATTAAATCATTTGCAAGGTTATGAAATCTAAAAAAATCTTTATTTTAAAGTGGATTTTATGCTAATTTCTTCCCTGACTTAATTGTCTTGGCTTTTTTTTTAAGCATTGGTGATTTCCATGTCTGGCAGAAGCAGCCTAATCAGCGCCTGTTTTTCAGCTCTTGAAAATACAAGTAGGTGGAAAAGGTTACATCACAGAGCCATTAGGAGATGCATCATTTAGAAAAGAAAAAGGAAAAAAAGTTTAGGAAACAATATCTTGGAACTTCCTCCATGCAGGAACAGGGATGAGAGGCATCAAAGAGTCAGCGGTTCATCGTCTCCGTCTTTTGTCTGTGTCTCAGATGGGGGCGAGTTGTGAAGAGGTAGATGTAGTGTGTCTATGCGAGGCAGCTCCCTGCACACTTACTGCACACTACTCAGAAGCACACACGCCTACGCTGGTGAGTGCTCAGCTTCCCACTTAAGTGTCTGTGGCCGTGGCGCGAGCCGCTGCGAGGGTTCCTCTAGCTGCAGTCGCGCTGTAAATCCGCGCCTTTCGCCTCCTGCTGACCCCCCCCTGCGTCTCTGTTGCTGCTTCTGTTTCTGTACAGTATGTTTCCCAGGAGCGCTCCATAGCTGACAGCTGTCAGGTCCTCTGTGATTCTTCCTACACCTTAGCAGGATCAGTCACTCTCTGCTGTCTTTTGCTCTTCTGTTGTCAGGAAGCTCCGCTATGTGAACACTGTGGAAAAAACCGAGTCATGTTAACCAGGTTCTCTGAGGGATATGGAACAGAGGTAATGATGAACATTATGTGTGTTTACTGACATCAGTTCTGTGTTTTCAGGTCCCCCCCCCCCCCATCTCCACCCATAAACCTAGCTCAATAGAGGTTGCTTGAACTTTCCTCATTTAGTCCCATTGAATATTTTCTAGAAACTGTAACACAGTTTGTATTTATCCACAAATATCGGATCCTTCTGAAATAATTATGGAAACAAATGATCAGCTTACTAGTAACTATCAATTAATCTTTTATTGGATTCAAATTCGCTCCATGAGATTGAGAAAGTTTTAATCAGGGTTGTAATATTAGCATCGTCCACTAGAGGGTGCCACTGCTTATCCTTAAGCAAAGGTATTCACTAGTATGTACAGGTCCTTCTAAAAATATTAGCATATTGTTATAAAGTTCATTATTTTCCTTAATGTAATGATAAAACTTGAACATTCATATATTTTAGATTTATTGCACACTAACTGAAATATTTCAGGTTTTTTATTGTCTTAATACAGAGGATTTTGGCATACAGCTTATGAAAACCCAAAATTCCTATGTCACAAATTAGCATATATTATCCGACCAATAAAAGAAAAGTGTTCTTAATACAAAAAAGTCAACCTTCAAATAATTCTGTACAGTTATGCACTCAATACTTGGTCGGGAATCCTTTTGCAGAAATGAATGCTTCAATCGCATGAAGGCAATCAGCCTGTGGCACTGCTGAGGTGTCATGGAGGCCCCGGATGCTTCGATAGCGGCCTTTAGCTCATCCAGTGTTGGGTCTTGTGTCTCTCAACTTTCTCTTCACAATATCACACAGGTTCTCTATGGGGTTCAGGTCAGGAGAGTTGGCAGGCCAATTGAGCACGGTGATACCATGGTCAGTAAACCATTTACCAGAGGTTTTGGCTCTGTGAGCAGGTGCCAGGTCGCGCTGAAAAATGAAATCTTCATCTCCATAAAGCTTTTCAGCAGATGGAAGCATGAAGTGCTCCAAAATCTCCTGAGAGCTAGCTGCATTGACCCTGCCCTTGATGAAACACAGTGGATCAACACCAGCAGCTGACATGGCACCCCAGACCATCACTGACTGTGGTTGCTTGGCTCTGGACAACTGGCATTTTGGCATTTCCTTCTCCCCAGTGTTCCTCCAGACTCTGGCACCTTGATTTCCAAATGACATGCAAAACTGAGCAACAGTCCACTGCTGCTTCTCTGTAGCCCAGGTCAGGCTCTCTGCAGCTGTTTCTGGTTCAAAAGTGGCCTGACCTGGGGAATGCGGCACCTGTAGCCCATTTTCTGCACACGCCTGTGCACGGTGGCCCTGGATGTTTCTACTCCAGACTCAGTCCACTGCTTCCGCAGGTCCCCCAATGTCTGGAATCGGCCCTCCTCCACAATCCTCCCAAGGGTCCGGTCATCTCTTATTGCAACGTTTTCTGCCCCACTTTTTCCTTCCCACTGAGGTGCCTTGATACAGCACTCTGGGAACAGCCTATTGGTTCAGAAATATCTTTCTGTGTCATACCTTCTTGCTTGAGGATGTCAATGTTGGCCTTCTGGACAGCAGTCAGGTCGGCAGTCTCACTCATGATTGGGGTTTAGAGTGATGAACCAGGCTGGGAGTTTGAAAGGCCTCAGGAATCTTTTGCAGTGTTTAGAGTTAATTTGTTGATTCAGATGATTAGGTGCATAACTCGTTTAGAGACCTTTTTCATGATATGCTAATTTTGTGAGATAGGAATTTGGGGTTTTCATGAGCTGTATGCCAAAATCATCCATTTTAAGACAATAAAAGACCTAAAATATTTCAGTTAGTGTGCAATGAATCTAAAATATATGAATGTTCAAGTCTTATCATTAAATTATGGAAAATAGTGAACTTTATCACAATATACTAATACTTTGAGAAGGACCTGAAGAGATGCATTGATCCAGTTTTTTTAGCGATACCTGCTCAGATTAATGAACCACATATCTCGCCTTGTGAGTGGTAAAAAGGGTAAAAAAATTAATAGAAATTAATACAAATTAACAGAGATATAAATGTACTTTATATTATTTAACAAATAAGCAGCAAAAAGAAGGAAACTACTCTTCCATGTAAAATGCACTGGATTGGAACTCCGATATATGATCTAGTCCAATCCAATCCAATCCAGCTAGTTTGTCATTATCATGCCTAATTTCCAAACCAGATCTGTGCATCTCTACTACTGTAGTATTTGTAAAAGAAGTGCCATCAGAGGGGTGTCACTACCTGATCCGTACCGGTAGCACCATCTGAACCATCAGCTCCTTTGCGCAATCAGAATATACTGTATCTAGGTGGTCATCGATTGTGTCTTATAAAAAAAAAGACAGAAATCACTTCCTTCCTTTTCTCATTAAATATATTAAGCACATAAAGTACAACATATAAAAGGTTATTTTCTGAGAGAATAAAAAAGTTAACATCCTGTCACCTGTCTGTACCCGATCTGTCCATGGAATCCTAACCTGAGCAGCTGAATTTTGCCGTTTGCATTTGAATAATTGTAATAATTTTTATGTTTGCATTTTGTAGCATTTTTATATTATTTAGTGCATCGTTTAAAAAAAGACACTTCTAAACTTCAATTCAATTCAGTTTATAAAGCAGAAATTCACAACAAGTCATCTCAAGGCACTTTACAGTTCACCAGATCATGCAGTCAGATTGATTCATAGTTTTCTAAGGAAAACCAGTTGATTGCATCGACTCATCGACTCGAAGGCAATCCCTCACAATTAGCATGCATGTAGCGACAGTGGAGAGGAAAAACTCCCTTTAAACAGGAAGAAACCTCCAGCAGAACCAGGCAAGGTGTGAACTGCCATCTGCTGACGCCGACTGGGGTTCAAGGAGACAGAAGGAGAGGTACAGAAAGCAGATAAACAAAAATACAGATAGCAAAATGTTATTTTGAACTTTGCCTGATGATTACAGAAAGATAAGGGGTTTATAAAACACATTACTGCAAGAATCAAAAGGTAATACAATGTTTTATTTGTAACAAAACAAAACAAAAAACAAAGCACAATTAAATTTTTGGATATAAGTGTCTCCAAATATAACAGAGTTGCACCATATGAAGACTTAAAGCTACAGTGTGTAATTTTCAGCGACATCTAACGTCCAGACTGCAGACCGCAGCAACATGAACATCTCCCCCCCACCGCTTCTCCCCCCCAACAGTACGGCGAGCGTTACGGGACAAAATGTCTTCCACGACGTCCGCATCACCTACCTTCCCAAGTGATGAGGTTTGTTTACATAGATCATTTTAATACTGCCATCTATTGTTCAGTACCGTCTCAGTTCATCTCTCTCAACTTGGCGTAGTTACTTTCAAGCGTAATGGGCGTTCGCTATCGCTAGTTCGCAATCGCTAGTTTGTTGGCTCTGCGCTGCCGTAGCGCAAAGACGTTTGCCTCCATGGCTGCGAGACCCGCTCCTATGTAATTATAAATAACGAATTCTAAGGCAACGCAAATATTAAGGTTAAGAGGCTGAGCTCGTAGATGATGATAAATAACATAGTTATGTATAATATATTACATTTCTGACTGTATATCCCTGTAATTATTACACATTGTAGCTTCAAAGACTAACGCTAGGCTTTATTTATGCTAAATGACCAACATTTAAACTGCTTAGAGATTCATTGCAATGAAGCTGTTAATCAGCTGCTGCTATAACAATGACGCCTTCATTCAGCTGTAGCTTATTGAGCGGACAGTAAAAAGCAAGCAGCTCTGGTTTGATCCACCAGACCGAGGGAAACTCTCTCCTGTCGGTATGAGGTGGAGCAGATCTGTGAGCACAATGCATGTGAGTCACCTGAAACGTCTGCAGCATCAGATGTCTGGAGGCACAGAGGAGGAGGAGGCTACTGACTCAGCTCAGTCAGCTTCATTTAGCCTATAACGCATCCATGGTTCATACCCAAGTAAAGTGGCAAAATTTTAAGCTGAAAACACCTACCCGTGTAACGAGCGCTGGACCTTGCACCCAATATTCAGCAGAAAAACTGAATGTTTCAAACAAGTTTCTTGAAAAACAAACCAAAAGAGAGGGCCGGAAGCTCCTAGAACCGGGTTCTCGGATTCTCTGCTGAGGCAGGAAACTCAGGTTAGTGACTAGAATGATGAGCAGAAAAAGACAACAAAAAAGCCCTGAGCTGGTTGAGTGTTCAGTCCGATTATGAGAGAGGAGAAAACCGCCGCTTACGGTCCTTACCGCACAGCACAAAGTGCGGGGGACCTGGCTCCAGCCGACGCAGAGAAGGCAACAGTGTCCTTTAGAGATAATTTTAAAGGACACTTTGGAGTTATCTAAAATGTCCTTTAGATAACAGTCCAGAACAGTTTCAGAAACCAGGGGATCAGAGAGCTGAAGAGATGTCCAAGGCGAATCCAAGCTGAGGTCAATAAAACAGTCCAAGTTCAGTAACCAGCAAAATCCAGGCAGTCAGACCAAAAATCACACTGAGTAAAACAGACAGAAAAAAAAGAAAATCAATGGGCAAAAAACTGATCAGAATTTAACAACACAGACAACTTACTTCAGTTGTCGCTACAGTTACTCACATGAGACGGCTTGAATAATCTTGATCAATATTCTAACTGTTCCATCGCTACGTATGTTAGGGCCACAGATGGCCCCTTTTTACTCTCTAGATCTAGTAAAGAAAGGAAAATCTGTGGGATATCTAAATGTTTACTGATCCAAAGTGGAGAATAATTATTACAAAGAGGACATTTTTAAACACAGTAACATGCTGCTGTCTTTAATCAGAACAATACAGTTCCACATTCATTTTATATGTGCAGACTAGAGCAGATAACTGTTTTTATTAATAGAACATTAGAAACCACATGAAAATAAAACCTCAAAACTTAAAACACTTTACTATTAGAAAAATGTTTCACTAGATTAGTCATATGTGAAACAAGGTTAATATCAAACTGAAGCTGCTATTCTACCTGTTGCCTGTTATTTCTTCCATAAACATTTGAAATAAATATAAGAGGGACTCTTGGATAAAAGAAAAAAAAAACAAAAACAGAAATAGACAGATGCAATGTAAATTATTAGTTGTCCTCTCCAGTGTTGTATAGTAACGAAGTAAAAATACTTCACTACTGTACTTATATTGTATATATTGGGTACTTTATACTTTCCAAGAGTGTACATTTTTTGAGAACTTTCACTTTTACTTCACCACATTTACAAACTCAATTGCATACTTTTAATTACTAAGTAAAAAAAAATAAATAAAAAAAACGAACGAGAGAGAGAGCGAGAGAAACGCAAGTGTTTTGACCCCATCTACTGACTACAAAGTCGGGTCTTGCCTTGGCTTGTTCATCAACACCAATAGGATACGCCTGTTTCGCAAAGCCAGTCTAAATTCATCCTACACTTGGTTGTTTATATCATTTTAAGTGAATTTAACCGCCAAAGTTTACCAAAATGTAAAAAAATGTAATTCAAACTGCACTTACTTTTTACTTATACTTTTCACTACATTACTTGAGTACATCTATTTTTACAGTAATTCTTATACTTAAGTACAAGCCATTTGAGGTACTTTAAGACTTTTACTCAAGTAACATTTCAGTCAGTGACTTGGACTTTTACCAAAGTCATATTTTGGAGAGGTACTTATACTTTTACTTGACTCTGAGATTTCAGTACTTTATACAACACTGGTCCTCTGTTTTGGCACTAGATAATAAAATTAGATGCGGTTTAAGAGTAGCTGCTAAGCTACAGTCAGCTATGCTAATCTCCTTCTTGACTTCTGTAACATCAAATCTAACGGGATGAGTTGTCTAAAACAGTGTCTCCATGGTTACGATACATACAGTAGCAGTCATTCAGAATGGCCCTTCCCAGTCAAAAGCGGCCAAATGGCAGCAAAGTCCCCTCCAACTTCCAGCCACTGGCCGTCCCCTTGGAATGCCTATCTTTTTACTCTGACTCCTTGCTTTCACTGAATTACAGGGTCTGACCAGGAGAAAACACTTCTCTTTAGCTCTTAATGTCCACAAATAATGGCAGAATAAATTATTAGATGTTCTAAAAAGGATGTAGGGGACGCCATCTATTGTCAGGTACCGTCTCAGTTCATCTTCTCAATTGGCATAGTACTTTAAAAGCGTAATGGGCGTTCGCTATCGCTAGTTCGCAATCGCTAGTTTGTGGTTGCGCTGTCCGTGCGCAAAGACGTTTGCCTCCATGGCTGCGAGACCGCTCCTAGTAATTAATAATAACGCCAATTCTAAGGCAACGCAAATATTAGGTTAAGATGCTGAGATCTAGATGATACATAACTGTTGTATAATAATTACATTTTGACTGTATATGCCTGTAATTATTAGACATTGTAGCTTCAAAGACTAACGCTAGTTTATTTATGCTAAATGACCAACATTTAAACTGCTTAGGATTCATTGCAATGAGCGTTAATCAGTGCTGCTATAACAGCGACGCTCACAGCTGTGCTTATTGACGACAGTAGATAAGCTTTCATTGATGCTCTCAGGTAATTGAATGGTGCATGAGAGCTCTGTTGTGCAGGAGGGGGAACTCTCTCCTGTCGGTATGAGGTGAGCAGATCTGTAAGCAAGCATGTGAGTCACGAAACGTCTGCAGCATCAGATGTCTGGAGGCACAGAGGAGGGCGGCGTACTGACTCAGCGTAGTCAGCTTATTAGCTAAAGCATCCTGGTTCATACCCAAGTAAAGTGGCAAAATTTGAATCCAAAAGCTGAAAACACCTACCCGTGTAACGAGCGCTGAACCTTGCACCCAATATTCAGCAGAAAAACTGAATGTTTCAAACAAGTTTCTCTAAAAACAAACCCAAAGAGAGGGCCAGAAGCTCCTAGAACCGGGTTCTCGGATTCTCTGCTGAGGCAGGAAACTCAGCTCAGTGACTAGAATGATGAGCAGAAAAAGACAACAAAAAGTCCCTGACCTGGTTGAGAGTTCAGTCCGATTCTGAGAAAGGAGAAACCCATCGCTTACGGTCAGACTGCGGGGGAGCTGGCTCCAGCCGACGCAGAGAAGGCAACAGTGTCCTTTAGGGATAATTCAAAGCCGCAGTTCAGTCCAGAACAGTTTGGATGTCCAGGGAGAATCCAAGCCGAGGTCAGTAAAACAGTCCAAGTCCAGTAACCAACAAAATCCAGGCTGTCAGACCAAAAATCACACTGAGCAAAACAGACGGGAAAAAAAAAAGAAAATCCATGGGCAAAAAGCTGATCAGAATTTAACAACACAGACAACTTACTTCAGTTGTCGCTACAGTTACTCACGAGACGGCTTGAATAATCTTGATATTCTAAATGTTCCATCACTACGTATGTTAGGGCCACAGATGGCCCCTGGTTAATCTCTAGATCTTGTAGAGAAAGGAAAATCTGTGGGATATCTAAGTGACATGCTGCTGTCTTTAATCAGAACAATACAGTTCCACATTCTTTTATATGTGCAGACTAGAGCAGATTTCTGCTTTTATTAATAGAACATTAGAAACCATATGATAATAAAACCTCAAAACTTAAAACACTTTATCAGAAAAATGTTTCATTTCGTTTCAATTAGTCATATGTGAAACAAGGTTAATATCAAAATGCAGCTGCTATTCTACCTGTTGCCTGTTATTTCTTCTATAAAAATTTGAAATAAATCTAAACAAACAGAAATAGACAGATGAAATGTAAATAATTAGTTGTCCTCTGTTTTGACACTAGATAATAAAATTAGATGCGGTTTAAGAGTAGCTGCTAAGCTACATTCATCCATACTAATCTTATTCATGACTTCTGTAACATCAAATCTAACAGGATAAGTTGTCTAAAACAGTGTCTCCGTGGTTACGATACATACAGTAGCAGCCATTCAAAATGGCCCTTCCAGGTTAAAATGGCAGCAAAGTCCCCTCCAACTTCCAGCCACTGGCCGTCCCCTGGGCGTGCATATTTTTTTACTCTGACTCCTCCTTTTCACTGAATTACAGGGTCTGACCAGGAGAAAACACTTCTCTTTAGCTCTTAATGTCCACAAATCATGACAGAAAGAATATTTTAGATGTTTAAAAAGGAACTGTAGGGGACCAGCCAAGGACCAGTTAAGGGCCCATTAAGGAAAGTGAGGAAATATTGAATAGCTACTACTGTAAAACCTGTAAAGCTGCTGTTACTATTCAGACTTTAATGAAGCTTTTGGTTTGAATAATCCCTCGTAAACAATAACTCGATCGATACAGTGGGATATAAATAGGATGACATTTATATAAGCTGTGATCTCATTGGTTCATGCATATTAACCGTAGTGACATGATGAACACCTGCGAACAGACACATGCCACCAGCACATGTTGTTTTTGACAAGTGATGATTCACAGCTTTTCATTGATCAACATCCCATAATGTGAAGGTGGTGGATGATTCTCTCTGTGTGCTGCAGGAGGAGTGCGGACTATCTGACCCTCAGGGGGAAAGCGACGCAGACGCTGACATAGAGGACACAGACTGCAGGTTGGACCGCTGGTACAGCTTTACACACTTTGCTCGCCTTTTTTTCTTCTGGTGTTTCTGACCTTAAGCCTGATTGGTTCAGACTTCAGGAGCACAGTTCTCTGCAGCGAATCAGCTCGCGCAGACGCAAGCGTCCGCGGGTGGCGCGTCAAGACACGACGGAGAGCGAGGACGACGGTGGGCGGAGCCACAAAAGCCATCGCTGGAACCTGCGCCTCAGCCCTGACAGAGCGCACAGCAGGACCATCCTGGAGGTAGGGGTGGATCATCATCATCATGATTGGTCTCATGGGTGGGGCTAGATTCTGTTATTAGTTTGGACCTTTGGGGGGAAACAAAATCCCCAATTCAGAATCAGCAGAATCAGCAACCCAAGAACTATCAAGTTCATATTTTATAGAACATCTATTTTAGTTCAGTGTGTAATTTTTATCTATGATTGGATAAGAGTTAAGGAGAGATTTGTTCCCTTTGTTTTTGTCCTCTCCTTATAGCATGGTGTGGGTCCTATAAGTGTTTTTTTCTGTGGGAACCATTTTATGTATCATTGTAGCCACATGTTTGTGATAACTGTCCCAAGTTGCAGTCATAATTTGATATCAGTTCACCACCAGAGTTCACTAGTTTTTTTATCTAACATGACCTTGTGTTTCTGAGTCTTTAATCCCTGCTGTTCTCTCAAGGTTTTCCAGGATCTATGGAGGAACAATAGACCCACAGAATAACAGAGAAGCTCATTTTCAAACATGTTCACCCTATTATTATCATCCGGGACTTAAAAAAATAAAGCAAACCATTACTGAAAGCTTCCTCAACTAATTTGATAACATATTCGAATCGTCACTGAAAGTATAAAGACTTAAACATCCAGTTTCCTGAACGACATACCGAGTCAGAGTAGGAATTAAACTAAAGCTGTACCAAAGATATATATATATATATATATATATATATATATATATATATATATATATATATATATATATATATATATATATATATATATATATTTTTTTTTTTTTTACCAGCTTTATCTTCAACTGAAAGAATTTTGAACTAAAACAAAAAACAAAAATCTCCTATTAACACTCTCCTATTAGTAATCCATTAATAGCTGTCAACAAATTCATTAAATAACCAATTAATTGTTTGCTATCCTGTACATTTCAATATACATGTATACACATGTATTCATATATACACACATATACATATATTTACTTGTCTGTCTGTGAAGGCAACACAAAATAACATTTGTGTCTGTAATCTAAGAAAAGTGAAACATTATCAACATCTGGACAGGACTGACCCTGTCTGTGGGGGCTATTAGTTAGCCTTTTAGATTTGTGTTCTTGTCAACATTCTCTTTATTAGTTTGATGCATTTTTTGGTACCTAAAAGCAAAAACAAACAAACATAGAAGTAAAGAACTGAAAATCAGGCATTGATAAGGCTCCTTCTGCCAGAAACTGAAATGTCTCCTTGCTCTTTCAGCTGAAGAAAGATCTGCAGGAGCATTCAGCTCCATTTATCCATGAATCCTCGGTTTTGTCTTTCAGGAGAGTGTCTCACAGGTGAGGCCACTGATCATCGCCAGGCCCAACGCTGAGATGCAGAACAGTCCAGCAGATTGGCCCCCAGGCTCTGAAACGATGTCCCTGTGGCCCCCGTCCCTCTCTCTCCCCATCAAACTCCTGCTGCTGCTGCCGCTCTCCCTCTCTCTCGTCATTCTGATCATCTCCTACTTGCTGCCCTGGACGGCCACATGACGGCGTTTTTTCAACCGTCACACTAACGTCATCCTGCAATATTCTATAGTAGATAACTTAGCCTTTAAACCTTAGTAAGGATTATAAAAGCAGTTAAAGATGATTAGAACTGATGATTCGTGTCAAATGGTTTTCTTGCTACATCATAAGGCAACGCTTTTCATGGAGCGAACAGTCGCAGTAGAAATAAAAATACAAGCCGAGTTCTTGGCTGCGTCTCACCCTAAGTTTCAGTTTCTCACCCCCTCGTTTGTAAAAATAGACCTTGATCTGGAGGGGGGGAGGATATCAGGGCTGCACAGAACCTTTTAAAACCCTTCATAGGAAAACATGTGAAAGGCGACGCTCAAACACTATGCAATTCTGTCCCTCCGGCATCGAGAGGGTTCTTAATGATCTTCTATGTCACCGTGTCCTTGCCCCTTTTGCCCCTCCCCTTTTCTGTTCTTATAGTGCTCTGAATATTGTTCAGATATAGCGCCTTTATGGTTCGATCAACAGAACATCTTATTGATGCACAGATTAAATAATTTTATTTATTTATATGTGTTCAAAAGGAAATATGCTGACCTCAAAACAAAATAAGCTTTTGTGGAAAAATGCTGTAACTGTACAATTCATTCATATAAAACCACATATTACCATCATGTAAACATGACAAGTGCTGATCTTATTTATTTTAAATTATGTTTAATTGCTGTTTAGAAAACCGACCTTGACAATCAATCATGCTAGTTGTTACAAGCTGAAATGCAAAACTGGTAAAAGCATTTCAGCTTCTCTGTACTGTATAACATTTATTCATTTGTTCAATTTTGTTGTTTTATTTATACTTTGCATTGCTATTTAATCTTTTTGTGCTGCTTTCCAGGAGAGAAAAGTGGTGATTATTATTTATTAGTATAATTTTAGTCTGTTTTCTATTAAATACTGTGAATTAGTTCAGTATATGAAACTTCAACCCTGCTGTATTGCTCTTCCTAAAGCTTCTATTTCTTCCAGTGTATAAAAACATTCATCTCTGTGTTTCGTTGGGCAATAATTATCAATAAAACAAGATTGTATTTTAACAGAAAAAAAAGAGGTTTGCTGCTCAGTGTCTTTTTGAAACTGGGGATGGTGGCAAGACCAAACATTTTTTTAATATATTGTTGATGTGGACCCAGCCATATTTACACTAATTGCACATTCAATTTCAAATATCATCACAAGGGAGAGATTTTTCTCAATATTATTTAAAAAAATGACTATTGCAATGGATGCCATCCCTTGGACAGCTGCAACGTAATAAATCCAATAAATTTCACTAAATTAAAACTAAACTTTTTGCTTCTCTTTCTATGAGTGTATCACCCACAAAATTTCTATTGTTGATCAGAATAATTTAGAATTAAGCTGCAACTTTGTTTTGTTTGAATGTGCTCATAAACAAACATCCAAAATTAAAACAATGAGATTTCTAAACTTTCAAATTGTACATCTATCAACATCCAAAACTGGGATGACAAACACAACTTATTTATATATTCATTAAATCTCAACAGCCAACTTTGAAACAACTTTTTACAGCACATACTGTATACCTCAATTTATGCAATTCTTTTGTACAAACAAAATTTATATATTTCATTTGACATCCAAATTATAATATAACGTCCCCTCCCCATCAGTCACATGTACAGTTGTGCCATGTGGAAAAATCCTTCACCTTAACCATCCAGCTCTACAGCCACACTATACTAGATTTTAAGTCATAACAGCATGTTCTAGCCTGACACACAGCATTTAGCACATGCTAACCAGGTAACTGAAGTCAAATAGTCTAAGTTTTAATCATTTCATGCCATCAACAGTCAGTATGAGAAAAATAAACCACATGGAAAAAAAATACTTTCAGAAACTCTGTCTGATAAACATAGAAAATTATCTGGGATGTGTCCTCTGTTGGTTTAGGGGGAGGGACCAACTGAGCAAAATCAAAGTCATCAATGTAGCATGTTTGAAGAAAAAAAAAATGCATTTTTTTTTTTTAACTCCCCCAGTGTCCCCATCTATACACAGAACAGTTTCCGAAACATTTAAAATGAGCATTATAATTACATTGTATCAGTTTAAACTACAACCTCTATAATATACAATAAACAAACATCAAATATGCATATTGTGCGTTACACCACAGTGAGTGCAAAAACAAAAATGTGCAGCACAATAACAAAAAATCCAACAAACAACCAAAACAGCAAAGCAGATCATTAAAGCAGCCTTCATACCAGGACATAAGTTATGCCTACTTTATTCATTAACATGACAGAGGTAGTGATAAGTGAACATTTCTATCTGTAAGGTTTTCCAGTGGGCACTGTGTACGATTTGCCAGAAGGTAGTAATTCATATTATGAATGCAGGATATGACAGGGATGTACTCTTTACTCTCTTTGTGAGCCTGAGCATGTAAATCACCCACAGGAAGGAATAAATCAGCAACATAACAAGACAATACTTTTCTACCAAGTTCTTGTCCATTAAGTGTGTTCTATTATATAAAGATGTGCACAAGAAAGAAAGTAAATAATAATGTGCTGTATGGTGTGACAGTGTCGACACAGGAAGCCATATTGACAGAGAAGATTCAGATGCATGGTTTTGAGCAAACAATGACTAACATTACAATACTTAATATAAAAAAATACTAAAATGTGATTTTAAAGCTATTTTCATGATCGAACCAGTCAAGTATATTCTGGTTATGCAGCAGGAAACACAGACTAATACAGGTTTAGATTCACATGTGAATAACAATCTGGCTCATATTGATGGAGATCAGTGCATTGATCTCGGAGAATCAAGCCAATAGAGGGCGGTTGATTATAGCTCCTTATACAGCTTTAGAGAAAAAACACGCTCACCCTATATATGGCTCCTCAGCCTGCAGATCCAGACTGCTTCTCAGGAGGGATTCATAGATTGCCTTTTTGGAGCAGATAGTATAAACATCCGGCTTAGAATGTGCTCCATCCAAGCCTACGCTTGGAGTATTAAAACATTGTAAAATACCATTTTGCAGATTTTAAAAAAAAAACACAGTTTGGGATTTTTTTGAACATCTATTTTCTTTTAAAAAGGCATTAGGATTTATAGTACAACCTTTCTCTATCAGACCTCTGGGTTTATTGCTACACTGTACTTTTCAAAGCAAAATGTAACAGCAGGAATAATTATAATTTGTCATTTTTAAAACTCTCAATAAAAAAAGCACCTTTAATGTTAGATGTCACTAAGTCTGTAACAAGATCTGTCTCTAAATGTTCAGGTAAAGTAACCTTGTTTTTATGCATTTTTTTGTTTTTTTACAACTATCCACTAGAGGCATTGGGGGAAAGGTTTATACATACATATCAAATTGGAATTGAACATAACTTTCATAGACACAGGTGTTTATAGTTACTGCTTTATTTAAATGAGTTTTGTCTGCAAAAAAAAGTAGTAAAATCTGGATGACATACTGTAAACCAGACAAAATGGGATTTTCTTTTCATCTATTTATGACGGGGGGTGGGGAAAGCTGGAGACCTACACTGCCACCTGCTGGTGAAACACCATGCATTATTTAATCCACTCAAACTAAGTTCCTTCCTAAAGCTATTTTTTTAAGGTCAATTTAAAATGTAGTTGCCAAAAAATCTACTAATAATCTTTCAGCAATTTCAGTGGGTTGCACAGTTAGTAATCATCTCCTAGGTTCATGGACCTAAAATGGGTCTTTGCATTGCAGTTTTTCATTTTCACTAAACTTTATGGATGAGGCACAGTCTCTCATTTTGTGTTCATTTTACTTACCCAGGTAAAGATATTCCTATGATCTTTTTTTATCTTACATTGGTGGGCTGCTCAGTGGGGCAGTGGGTAGCACTGCTGCCTCGCAGGGTTTGATTCCCGCATTTCTCCGGGTACTCTAGCTTCCTCCCAGAGTCCAAAAACATGACTGTTAGGTTAATTGGCCTCTTTAAATTCTCCTTAAGTGATAGTGTGCACGTGAATGGTTGTTTGTCCTGTTTGTCTCTGTGTTACCCTGTGAGGGACTGGCAACTTTTCCAGTGTGTACCCCACCTCTCACCCACAGACAGCTGGAGATAGGCACCCCTCGCGACCCCACCTTAAATAAAGCGTGATGGAAATGGATCAATGGATGGTACATTGCTTTGAAAATGATCTCCTCTGTTTGATTTCCTGAACATAGAAGAAAAGAGAAAATTTGTCTGAGCACCGCTGCTGCTCTCAAGGAAAGATTTGTGGAGGAGGGGTCCCATAACCAGGTTAGAGCTCCTCTCTTTACATGAGTTGTTATGGTAACAACCAGGCCTGCTTTGGGAAACGGACTTTTCTGAAGTAGATTCAAAAGCTGCTTCATAGAACTGAGCCCTTATTTTGCTATAGTTGTGAAGGATTTTACTGCACGGATTTTACTGAGTTTGTTTTTGCCGTCTCTGAAAACAATCTGACTCATTTGCCTGCAGTGGACAATGCCCTCTATCACTGTTGTTCAGGAGTATTGCTTGGCATATGAATGGCTCTAAGAGTGACATAGTTACAGTATAGTCAGGTAGGAGGTTTTTGTGTTTTGAAGCGAGGTGTTGCCCACCAGTTTCACTTCCATTTCGCCCACACAGCACTTCAACTTCAGAGCATTTCAGCAGGATTTGATTAGAGACTGAGTCTGTGTGGACAATCAACAGCCTGCTGCAGTGGCCTGTGAATTTAAAAAGGATCAACATCGAACTGGACAAATTGTACTTGAATACTCACATATTTTAAGTGTTTTCTACTATTGACCCCTTTTTGTCTTATGAATTACCCTAAATCTTAATAAGGTGTCAGGTGGATTTACAAGGTACTTTAATTCACATTGACCTGATATTTAACAAGTTGTATTTTGATCACTCATCCATGATGCAGATCGCCGGTTTTACATCTGAAAATATGAGCAGTAGGATGAGAAATGGTGACTTTGGAGCCCAGTGGGGCTCAGTGACATCATGGTCAGGTTTAGAAAAACAATTTGATATCATTTGAGTTATGTAACATGAAGCAGATGTAACTATTTGACTGATTGGATATGATCAGCTATAATAGCAAACCATAAACTAAGGTCCTGCTTATTTGCCAGACCAATGTCTCTTTTCCAGTCTTTTGTTTTCCAACTCTTCTTTTGATATTCTTTTTGATATTCAGGATTTTAGGTTTCAGAACATGTAAAATCCATAAACCAGCTTTATCCTGATTTAATTTAGGTTTGGCCTGATTTTGTCCCACTTTAGTCCAATAATAGACATTAAATATACTTTGCAAAACCAGTTTTCAACATCTGTTTAATGATCTGAAAATGAAGGCTTCTCCCCTTTCACTTTTCAACCAAATGCAAACGTCATTTGGATGTAAATCATGACATCTTTTTTTTAAAGTCTTTTTAACCAATTTTAGCTCGGTGGGGATTTATAATGCTTTCTGAAATGGGGCCCTAGAGTCCAGCTTTGTTTAATGATTAACAACCTTGTAGAATTTTTTATGTGTTTATGGTCTTCTTATATTAAAACTCTATAATTGAAAGTGGGGCTTCTGTATTTTATCACAGATGTAAGTCTCTGATTTTAATTTTTCATTTGACATAAGAGTGAATAAGCAAAGAGCTGCATGTTGTTTTCTTTTTTCCCTTTTAGCTCTTTTAGTTGTGATCTGTGACCTAAATTCCACAGCTCATGGGCACGAAGGAGAAACACGATCCCACTGTTGACCCTCTGGGCATTTACCCCTGTGCAAGAGTCAAGGTTCCTGCCAAGGCTCCTCTGGATGTCACAGTGTGTGGGCTAGAAGAGGCGAATCAAATCAGCCCTTCATCTATGCTTAGACTAGAGTTGCATAGTGTGAACTGAAGTTCTGGCACTGGATGAGTACAATCATAGGTTGGAATTCAGAATAGTTTGAAATAGCAATGATAAAATGCATGATGAGTACAAGATAGCTTGTAAAACATAAGGATAAAACAGTTTGTTCATCAACTGCGCTCAAAACTATTTAGTCTGTGAACAACAGACATCCAGTTTAGGGTTCCAGCTACTTATATTACACTGTAAATATGTAGCCGCCTGGTTATAAGAGGAACTGTGGGAATTTGCGACCCTTCAGTACTCCCATGCAGCTGGACAGAGAGACAGGACCGGAGCATATACACAACACTGCTGCTTAGGGGACACAAAGTCAAGCAGCACACGGCAATCTCAAGCAATTTTCTACAGGGGATTACAATTTGGACATCTGGGATATGTAGCCTGTCTGATTATTTCCTCACAATTTGTTGCAATAAGGGATCTACAATTTGTGAAGCTCCAGAGGCATACAAAGCATCAGCTAACCAAACTAAGAAAAAAGATTTACAAGGAGAGGTTGAAGAATGGCAGTGGCATGCCTCCAGAATAAACTGATGGAGTGGAGGAGACAGACGGAGGAACACAAGAGAAAACAAAATGGGGGTTTGGAAAACTCAATCGAAAAAGAGGAGGAAGAGGAAGACAATGTAAAGATTTACCAGAAAGATGATTATGCTACACTGGTTTTCCTCTCCTTGAAAGAGTTCAGGGATTCCTTGATTCTCACAGACCTTACGTTGAACACCAATGATGGTAGGAGCATTTGTGTTCACTCCACAGTCCTGGCTGCTGTCAGCTCACTCATCTGGGCAAAACTGAATGAAAGAAAGACAGAAAACAGTAGAGTTAATGAAAGAAAACCTGCTGATACCGGTGCTGGAGTCCATGGGTGGTCTATCTCTCTTGATAAAGAGGTGGATTGTGTCGGATTAGAGGCTGTTGTGGAGTTTGCGTATACTGGACTCATATCGAGTTTGAATGAGCATAACCTTAGTCAGATTCAAGGTGCTGCTAAAATAATGGGAGCCCCTCGAGTGCTGTCCCTGTGTGACTTGCACAATGAGCAGCTCTCAACACCTGGCAGAGACAATAAAGGGGTAATACTATCTGCTGCAGAACAGATGGCCATAAATCTAGAATCCATCAAACAGTTGTGGATTGACAGAGTTGGCTGTGACGTCAGGTTGGAAGCCCCTGGGGGATCAGTTCTTGGTAAGTACTCAGCCAGTCTTCAAGGGCCCCTCAGCAATGGACATTACTCTGCTTTAATATGCGTGTTGCAAATGGTTGAATCACCCTTGATTTACTCTGCTTTTATCTCCAATCTGGTCTGCTCTGCACTTCGCTGCTGTTCATTTAAGTCCTAATTTGCACCACAAGTGCTTTGATCTGCTCTGCTGTGAAGCCTGGAGAAGTCAAAGACGCCTGCACAGATTGTGCAAACAAAGCCAATGATCAATGTAGAAGTTAGGCGAAAACTGTTTTTAAAGTTTTTTTTTAATATATATTTTCAAGTTTTGCTCTACTAAGAGTGATTAAGCTGCATATGCACATTTATGAAAATAATTAAGACACAGGCACCTGGACAACACATATGTATTAATATACATGTTTGTTTATAATTATGGCCAGGTCTTGAAGAAAACGTAAAAAACAAAAAAACTGGACAATTGATCAATTAATCAATTTCCTATAGGTGCAGTGTGATGTGGGTAGACTGACTTCGAACTGACACTTCAAAAATTGAATCAAGTAGACTTTTAGCAGGTGGCAACATATGTACTGCTGCCCCACACCAGTCTGCAGAGATAGTGTAAATGCTTTTATTGAATATAGTGGATGTGTATTTAGTGTGGATTTCATACCAGAAGGAAGCAACAAGCAATGTAAATCACCTGGACTTGCCATTGAGTTTTGCAACACCCAGGTAAGTTAAGGTGTGGTGAGCCAAAAGGAACCTCTTCTAAGGCAAGAACACACTAGCCTTTGGGAATTACAGATTCATCATGTTCTATTGCTGCTACCTAACTGATGTCTGGTTCCCATGGCAATATTTCAGGACTGATTTGATGAAAAGAACACGGTATACAGTCACATGACACAACATCAACATCAGCTAACAGATTTCTTTCAGGAAAATTTAAATATCAGATTGGAGATCTCATGAAATCTTTGTTATCATACATGAGTTCAGAGGATTTAAACATGGCTCATGAAGATGCAATGGCGAAACTTGGTGAACTGATTGTACCAGAGATAAAGACAGTAGAGTTGTAAAAGGTGTTTATCAATAGAATATTGTCAGTGTGGGCTGGATGTCTACTGTCTAAACTGGTGAGTTATATTTTCTTTTTACTCTGGAAAAGCTCTCTGATTGGCTACATTCAAGATTCAACCGGTTGCATCCTTGTTTGCACTCGGGGAACACCACATTTGGCACTGAGCCAGGACAATCCAACATGTTAGATATCCCAAATTTTAGGTCAGTGTGGTCTTAAAATACTTACATACCAAGCAAACCTGATCACGTTTAACCTACCACCAAGGGTGGGATTATCCCATTTCAAAACCCATCACAATAATTGGGGCATCTTGGTAGGGGAAAACCAGATCAAAAATCAGTATGACAATCTTGCCGTGTGAACCAAATATAACACATTTCACACCTTTCAGAAAAATAGCTAAATGGCACAAGGGTCTACATCAGGGGTCACCAACCTTTTTAAGGCTGAGGGCCACTTCAAGGGTACTGAGTCAGAGGAAGGGCTACCAACACTGACCCATGCACAGCAAGTCAGTTCACCTAAACTTCATTATACATTATAAACATTTCTATTGTTTCCTTTAAGTTCTAATTGTATTTTAGACATTGTCATTTTGAAAGGATCTATAAATTATTAAAAAAGGAGATAAACAGAATAGAAGAAAATTTCAAACTTAGCCCACTGGGGAATTGTTCTTTTTCTTAGAAGTCTGAGGGCACCCCATGTGGTCCATGAGGGACCCCTTGGTGCCTGCCGTCACCACGTTGGTGACCCCTGGTCTACATCTTTGCACAGAAGATGGCGGTGGAATTTAAGATCAAGAAACTTAAGAGTAATGACATTCAGTTGTGACCAGATTTTTAGATGAAAAAGCCTATATAATCTCACATATACATTGGCTAATTCTTTTCTGGTGGCAAATAACCAGTAAAATTATACAATGTGTAACATTCTAACTCTTTCCTCAAACCAGTTAAAGCTCGAAAAGTACCGAAACATGTTTATACTGTATGTTGATATCTTCTCATGACCTCCTTCTCTGTAGTCCACAGAGTGATCCTGGCTGTCAGTACTGACTATTTTCGTGGGATGTTTACACTGGGGATGAAAGAGTCCCTTCAGTATAGTGTGAGCCTGCCATTCCTCTTTGTCTCAGATCTAGAAGTTTTGGTTGGCAGCTCTTACAATGGGACTCTTCCACTCACCTGGACAGGCATCTTTGAGATTGCTTGCCTTTCTATTCAGCTGCAGTACCAACCTGCCCTGTCCTTGTGCTTTAGCTTCCTTCGCCATGAAATAAATGCTCACACCTGCCTTGATGTGGTATCTTTCGCTGAAGCCTACAACATGGCACAACTTCAAGAGGCTGCAGATGATTTTGTCCAACGGCAATTTCAAGAGGTGGCCTGCACATCTAAGTTCAAGGATCTGCCAGCCAAACAGCTACTCAAATACCTAAACAGCACCTCACTCTGTGTTCCTTCAGAGCTAGTTGTGTTCAGAGCTGTGGTGTTATGGATTCAAGAAAAACCCAATCCCAGACTTAAACTGGCTGAGGAGCTAATGAAAACTGTTCAGTTTTCCCTGATGACATTTAAGGAATTTAAAGAGGTTCAGTCACATAGCATTTGGTGTAATCACAGGTTGACCGAGTTGTATGATAGAATCTATGAAGATTTCTATTATAACGACTCTCCACCACAGAATCAATGCCGCATCTATCTGCCCAAAGAGAGTCTAGTATTGATTGGGGGCGACCAGATCTCAGAAGACCTGTGCAGCCGCAGCATCAGCAGAGATATTTGGTTTGGGAATTCTGTGAGAAGTCTGGGAGGGATAAACAAGGAAATTGAGTGGAGAAGATTGGGAGAAATGCCGGAGTCACCAAGGTTCAGCCATGAAGTCGCTGTTCTCAGTGGACAACTGTACATTTTTGGAGGCAAAAATTATTATGGCAGCGGTGACATCTTTAGCTCTGTTTATAGGTGAGAGAAAGCAAAATATGGAAATTAAGAGAACCTATCTATCTATAACAGCTAAGATTTTTATGTCCAAATGTGTTTCTGCACCCTAATTCCAGGTATGACCCTCTTCAAAATAGCTGGGAGCGCCTGTGTGAAATGCAAGAGAAGAGATCCTCTTTTTCTGTGATTGTCCTGGATGGACAGTTACATGCTGTTGGTGGATACTGTGAACCTCATTATTTGGATACTGTTGAACGCTACTGTCCCACCAAAAACTCTTGGAGGTATTCTAGACACTAAATGACCAAGACTTCAATGTCTTGTCTTCAATTTTAATTTGACTGTGTGATCTGGTGAACTGTAAAGTGCCTTGAGATGACGTTTTGTGAATTGGTGCTATATAAATAAACTGAATTGAATTTTAAATCCTCAAAATTTATTTCTCTATTTTGTCCCTTTGGACCAAATGGTGCTTTTTGATACATATTGATTTACTGCTGAAAGCATTAAAAGTAACTTTAGTTAGTTAAACTGTGTAGCCCTTGCTTACATCACTTTCTTCTCTTTCAGCTTTACCAGACCCCTGGATGTACCGTTGGGTGGGCATGTAGCAAAGGCTTTTAAAGGGCAGATCTTTATCTCAGGAGGGCAAAACAGTGACCAGTTGTGTCTTGCATCTATGTTTCTGTATCACCCAGAGAGAGGAAGCACCTACCTGGCAAGTATGAGCAAACCTCGCGCTCATCACTGTATGGAGACCCTGGGTGAACATCTTTATGTAGCAGGAGGAATCACCACAAACGATAACAGGACTGTCGTTGATCAGCTGGCCTGTGAAATGTATAGTCCAGCTACCAACTGTTGGACTGCGATCACATCTCTGCAAGTGCCGCATGTCGGGGCAGCTAGTGCGGTTTTGGAGGGAAAGTTTTACTTGCTTGGTGGGTACAGCCAGGAGGACTGCAGTGACACGAATATGGTCCTCCGCTATGACACCAACAACCAGAAATGGGAAAACATTGGACAAATGCCAGGGCCTAATAATGAAATACGAGCATGTGTGCTGTGTTTGCCACACCATTTGCGTATATGAAACACAATAACTTTATCAGCTGGGATTAGTGAGTTATTATGGTGATGCGTATTCGGATTTATACAGTACATTATGCCCCTATGTGAAATTGGATTTTTTTTTAAGGAGAAATTTACATCTCAGGTATTACCAATCTTAAGTTTATTGCAATGTATACAACTCTGCAATTGCTATAGTTTTTGTTTGTGCATGCATTTTAAGTTTGAGAAGGTAATGTTAGCAGACATCTGCAAGTCTAGCAGTTTTAAACTGGTTATGGCTCCAAACATTCCTGCTCTGGGAGTAAGTTCAAATGGTGTTTTGTTGGTTCAGATCCCCTATCCCGACTGAAACGTTTGTCAGATACACTCAAACCCTGCTTCCTCTGGTTGGGGCCTTGATCTCAAAGTTTGCTAGAGATAGGCATTAGCTCCCCAGCAACCTCACAATAATGATGAGGGTGTAGATGAACTGATGAAAACAGAACATTTTCTGACAATTTAATAATTATTTAGCTAATATTTTACAGTTCTAGTTAATGTTTATGAACAGGATTTTTTTGTGTGGGCATTGTACTATTTTCTTTAAATATAATTTTATTCTCAGTGGTTTTCCTGTTTAGATAAAGTTTATAAATAGAAATAAAACTAAAAGTAGAAATATTGAACAAAATGTATTAAAAAGTGATATTTTTTTTGCTTGTTTGTTTGTGTAAATACAGTTTTTTTTTTTTTTTTTTTTTTTTTTTACATAGTATTCTAAACTTCCATAAAAGTTTAAAAAAGAAAAACAAGCTTTCTCAATTGAAATGTCAATTCAAATGAGAAAGCTTCCTGGAGGGGAAGCGACACGTCTTCAAATCTTAGAAACCAAGTCCAGTGGATTGTTTTTTTTTTTTTACTTTTACGGAATGACTATGACCTGGATGACTGAGAATCTTTATCAGCAGTATTTTAAACTCTGATAAAAGGTACCTCAAAATCCCGGGCTTGCGGTCAAATCCCCAGTCGCTCCTCCTTGGACTCTCTGCTACGTCTCTCTACAGCAGAGTATCACATGCTCTGCTGCATGAAAAAAACAAGGATGTCATAATCCACCTGTGACACTTCCTGTATTTTATTTATATTATTGGTTCCACTGTGCCTTTTTGCTTTTTACAAAATTTGTACAAGTTTATACAAGTGTCTCTATCTCCCTTGTCCCTTGGACACAAGGCCTGTGAACATTTTATACCTGCTAGTTTAAACATTGCTGTCAACATATTCATAAAGACATTCACAAAATGGACTTAGCATGCTCTTTTGCTTTTTTTCACAGACACAATTCTGAGCGCACCAAATCAGTAAATCAGCTTTATGAGTGCAGTCAGGGAGACAAATGGTATGACAAAGATAAAACATTAAAGGTTACCTTGGAGATTTACATTTACAGCATAATGAATATAATTAGTCCTGTAGCTGAACAGGTGAGAACAATATTTGATTACACGTTCTACATGCACAATGAAGCAATTGATCATCGTATATAATTATTTTACTGTTGACACTAAATGCTGGGAAAAGATACTGAAAAGATTCTTGCTCACGATACATAACTATAAGAATTCTGAGTGTTGCAACAAGCTAGAAGATGAAAAAAAACTACGGAAAGTAAAACGGTTCACTTTTTTTTCATGAGGCTAATTAAATCTCTAAGGCCGTTCTTTATTTTTATCTTTTAGCTTTTTTCATATCCCGTTATTTCACAATAGGTTTGGTTATTACCACCTGCCTGTTAGTATTAAAAACATGTCACTACTACATACTCTAAAAATTCTTTAATATACTGTCTCACAGTAAAAGAAATACCTTTAACACTTCTCCTTGCAAATTTTCTTACTGTGATTCCTACTAAATAAGTCAGATTCTATATTAGCTGATTTTGATGATTCCAGTGATACTAGGTCCAAGTGGAAGGCAGCAGGTCCCTCAATTGGAAGCAAAGTGGAATCTTCAGCATCAGGCTCACAGTTTGTGTTGTTATTGTACAACGAATTGTACAGTTACAGACAAAGTCATTTAGTTTTAATTAAAGTATACCAGTTTATCTGTTTTAGTCATATTAACTGCCATTAGTGGAAAATAAGTTACTAAGACCAAAGAAATGTCCATGGCTATGTTTTTTTTTTTTTTTTTTGTGTATAGTTAGTCATTCCTTAGAAATTCAAAGTTTGAGAGACATTATAAATACTAAACAGCTTAGTGAATAGCTTATTTAGTTGTTTTTAAACAACGCATGATAATTAAGTCTATGTTTTATATCTGATATGTCTTGTCTGTCCAAAGTTCTATGGAACAAGCGATTGATTATTTTGCTTTTGTGATTTGGAGAGAGAAAAATTACTTGACATTAGTTGATTTTAGTAATATGGGTCTTATTAACATCACAAATGCTTAATTTTGAGATTTGCTGTCCAACAGTCAAATCTATATATTAGATTAGATTCTAATACTAGAGTAAGAATGATCTCTTTCTTGTAATAGCAATCCATGGCCACAAGAGGGGACTGTCCCCTAATTTGATTTTAAAACTGTATGTAAAATGAGAAAAATCAGTGAATCACTCTAGTTCGTCTGATTTACATCATAATGATAATATTTGATATAAACTAATAATTTCCTTCTACATTCATGAACGGCCCTCTTTATTTTCTTTTCTTTTATGAAAGTAGCTTTTATTATATGCTCTAAAAAGGACTTCCTTTGTTCTAAAGTTGCCCGGCTATCAAGAAAATTTTATAAATTTTTCATTTATGTTCATATATGTTTATTTACTTTTAAATAAATGTAGCAGAAATTACTGTATTAATGAAATAAAGCCCTTTTAATGTGTTTTCTGTATAATTAAACACAATGAAAAAGACCATTACAAGTTCTAGGCATCAGTCCTCATAAACTGGGTATCTGCCTAACCAGTCAAGCCAGTCAAATATTTAATATCGGTTTAGACAGATTTAATAAATAAATACAAATCTTTAAGGGGCAGTTTTATTTTCCTTGTTTCTCATAAAGAACAATGTGGATGTGCCATTAATGATCAGTTACAGAGGGCAGATGTGAAATTACTTGGAAGCTGATTATCTGTACTGCTTATCGTAAACCTTCCAGTTGACTCACAGTTTTGCATTTCAGGCCTAAATATATTGAACGGTTCCTCAAAGTCTCTCTGTGACACAGGATAAACTAAACCTGCTAATACATCAGAAATGCTCAGGGAAAAAGAAAGATGATGAGAACTGAGTTTAAATGTGATAAAAGGAAAAAGAAAACAACTGTATTTATATGAAACCAAAACTGGCTTAAACACCAAGTTTTATCAACAACCCCAGATCTCACAAATGATGACTCATAGATGCCTGTTTAGAAAGATAAATTAGGCCCCGATATTGCATCTAAATAAATTTATTTTTAACAAAAACTAATTAGAATACTTCATTGTATTTCATATTATCTCTACTTGCTCCACTATAACCCGCAACCTTTTGGCTAGAACAGCTGTTCAGTCCAGGGATGTCAGCCTGTACTCAAAGTAAAACATAAATACAATATAAATATTATATTCATATACTCAAAGTTAATCAAATGTTTGGCAATCTTTCATCATGAACAAAATTATTGAAAATGTTTTCTTAGGATCCTACCTTTGGGCTAATATAAAAAAAAGTCAAGGTTATATCAGTTTCTGAGATTTTCTCGGTTTCAAAACTTTTATTCATTAGAATAATCAAAAATTCATAACTCCCACTGGTTCCCCGGAGGACCTTTTTGTATATTTACATCAGACACAGCAGTATGCTTGAAAATAACACTGGTTAACTTTTACCAAAATATAATAATTTTTTATACATCTTTAGAAAGCTTAGATTCTCCTAAATTCAAATGCCAAGTTCATTTTATGGAAACTATCAGCACCAAAGCGCAATTAATAAAGATACAGCATGTTAAATCAGAATTCTTCAAATAAAGCTTCGACTTCCTACCTTTCAATGTTCCAGTTTGCCTACTGATGCAACCGCTCCACTGAGGACGCCATCTCTGCTGCTCTCCACCTGAGCCTGGCACACCTGGAGGAGAAGAACACTCACGTGCGGATGCTGTTCCTGGACTTCAGTTCAGCTTTCAACACCATCATCCCACAGCATCTGATGGGCAAACTGGAACAGCTGGGCTTCAATACACCCCTCTGCAATTGGCTGCTAGACTTCCTCATCAACAGACCTCAGTCAGTCCGGGTTGGACAGAACACCTCTGATGTCATCATCCTAAGCACTGGCTCCCCTCAGGGCTGCATCCTGAGCACCGTGCTGTTCACCCTGATGACACAGGACTGCGTCCCCACGTTCACTACAATCACATTGTGAAGTTTGCAGACAACGCCGCGGTGGTGGACCTCATCAGAGACCGGGACCAGACCGGTGGGCTGATGCAGAGACAATAACGTGATCCTAAATGTGGAGAAAACAAAGGAGATCATCATTGGCTTCAGGAAGAGCTGGCCTAACCACACTTCACTGCTGTAGGCAGCTGTAGAAGTGGTCAGCAGAACCAAATTCCTGGTGGTGCACATCCAAGACATCCTCACCTGGACTGGAAATACCAACTCAGTGGTCAAAACGGCACAAAACGCATGTAATTCCTGCGGAGGATGAGGAGAGCCCACCTGTTTCTAGCCCTCATTCCTGGTCCCCCTTCCACCCACCCTGGGTGGGTTGCTTTGTGTTTAGGACTTTTTAGGGTGTCTGGGATCCGCCCTTAAGTGGCGGGTGCTGTCATGGTTTTGATTCTGTTTAAGTTTTCTCTTCGAGTTTTCCATGGTTTTATTTTCATTTTGTATTATTCTAGTTATTTTTGATTGTTTTGATTGTAGAGTTACTATGTGTTTCTTGTTTACCCCCTGTTGCCCTCTTGTGTCAGTCTCCTTCTCCTAGCTCCCATCTAGATTCTTCAGTCCACATCTGTTACTCGTCTGCCAATTAGTCCTCCCATTGTTTCTGTCTCCCATACATAGGTGGATCTACTGGGGTGGCAAAGGGTGGCACATGCCACCCTAAATGACAGCTTGCCACCCCTGCTGCCACCCCAGTTGGCGGTAGGGGTGGCGAGGCTTATAAATTATGGATAATTTGAAAATTTTGACCGCTAATTTCCAATATCGGACTGCAGTTAATGCAGTTCGAGATGACGCGAGAGCGACTGAGACTGATTTGTTTTGAAAACCGAATGGAGCAAAGCGAGGCAGCCAGGGGTCATGGGGAGAGGAGACACGGGATGAAACAGGTGAAAATTGATTAACTATCTATCGTGAAATTAAATCATAATGACAGGACAAGCATAGCATAGCTGCAATGCTGATTTTGAGATGATAAAAATCAGTTTGCAGAACATTATTTTTCTAACTATGATGTTAGGCCTGACATCTCAGGCTCATATAGAAATATTTGTGGTCAAATATGACAGAAAAGAGACATCAGGTTTGGTTGAACTCAAATCCAAACGCACAAAGGCATTGGATCTAAATAAATTTGTGAAGCGTTTTGCTGAGCAACATGGAAATCACCTCTTTCAGCTGTTATAGTCATGTCAACTTTATGTTATGCTCTCTAGTGAGCGTTTATAGGGCTGTTACATTTTGTTTTAGCACCTGAGAAAATCTTATTTCCTTTAATAAAACCCAAAGTGATAAAAGTAAAGTTAAAAATGTGATACTGGTGTTAATCCTGCTTAATATGAAGCAGTGTTGTTGTTTCTTTTTTGTATATATAGTATGAAACTATCCAGAAATGACCTGTATGAACCTACTCACAAAATGTTTTGTACTTTTTCAGACTGGAAGCAAAATGTTTTTTTATGTTGCTTCTTTTCATTTGTGGAGATTTTGATGTAACATACAGTACCTGCCTTTTTGTTGATTTGTTGATACAGCAGCTCTATCTTCAGCATATTTATATGCATGAAATGTCCCTTTCATGTTGCCGTAACTGCTGTATGTCAAGTTACTGAGGAACAAATGGGGTAAATGTGTGTAAACAATATATAGATGTCTGGTACCTTGTTCGGGTGCCTTGACCCATTTATTTCTACTGTGTAGTTGTGCTCACTTTAG